CTTTGTGTGTGTGTGTGTGTGTGTGTGTGTGTGTACCGGGGACTGAACTTGGGGGCACTCGATCACTGAGCCACATCCCCAGTCCTATTTTTTGTATTTTATTTAGAGACAGAGTTGTTTAGTGCCTCGTATTTTGCTGAGGCTGGCTTTGAACTTGCGATCTTCCTTCTCATCCTCCCAAGCTATTGGGATTACAGGCGTGCGCCACCGTGCCTGGTTGTATCTTTTAACTTAAGAATTAAGACCATCTACATTCAGAGTTAATAATGAAACATATGGACTTGTACTTGTCATTTTGTTTTCCTTCTGGTTGTTTTTAATATTCTTTCTGAGTCTTCCTCTTTCATCTTTGTGGTTTGATGGTATACTTTATTGATAATATTTCTTTCTTTTCTATTATTGTATATCTATTCTGGCGAGATTTATATTTTTACATGCTATTATGATGGGAGTTATTTTTCTTTCACTACTGTGTTTAAGATTTCTTTGAGCATCTACAAAGGCTAGTCTTGCGGTCATAAATCTCTTAGTTTTTGTTTATCTTGGTAGGTCTATACTTATCCAATTCTGAACAAAAAAGCCTTGCTGGATGTAATTTTTGTTGGCAGTTGTTTTTCTCTCAGAATTTGAAATAATATTACATGTCCTCCTGGCCTATAGGCTGTTAGTCTAGTGGGTTTACATTTAAATGTGACTTGGCACTGTTGGAGATTTAAAAATTCTTTGTCTTGTACTTTTTTTGTGTGTGGGGGGTGGGGGGCAGTACTAGAGATTGAACCTGGGCTAGTTTACCACTGAGCTATAAACCCCATTCCTTTTTATTTTGAGACAGGGTCTCACCAAGTTGCTAGGCTGACCTCCAACTTGTGATCCTCTTGCCTCAGCCTCTTAGATTTATGGGATTCCAGGTGTGTGCCACTGTCCCTGGTTGTCCTGTACTTTTGATAGTTTGACTATGGTACATTCTGGGGAGGATGATTTCTGGTCATGTCTATTTGGGGTTATATGGGTCTTGTACCTGGATGTCTATGCCTGTCAAGATTAGGGAAGCTTTTTGCTATTATTTTATTGAATAGATTTTCTATGCCCTTAATCTTTTTTTCCCTTTCGTATATGCTGATGATATAGAAGTTTGATCTTTTAATTATGTCCCATACTCCTTTCATTTTTATTTTCTTTATTTCAGTATGAATGTGATATTTCAAAAGACCTGTCTTCAACCTCTGATTCTTTTGTCCAGTTGATCTAGCCTATTGTTGAGGCTTCCAGCTGAATTTATCAAACTTATAGAGCTCTTTATTTTCAAGATTTATGATGGGTTCTTTCTTAATTTCTTTGCTGAATCTCTCACTGATGCCCTGCATTGTCTTTCTAATTGCATGTCTTCCTAATTTTTCATTCTTTGTATTCTCTTAGACCTCATTGAGCTTTTAAAAATTTCTTTTGAATTAATTTTCAGTCATGTTATCTACTTTGATATTTATGGAATCTGTTACTAGAGAGTTATGATCTTTAGGATGTCATATTACCCATTCCCCCATATTTCTTGTGTTTCTATATTGAGAATTGCAGAGCTGATGAAATGGATATTTACCACTTTCATGAGATGACATTATTTTTTTTTAAATTGTAAATGGACACAACACTTCTATTCCATTTATTTATTTTTATGTGGTGCTGAGGATCTAACCCAGTGCCTCACATATGCCAGGCAAGCACTTCACCACCAAGCCATAGCCCCAGCCCCAAGATGATCTTCTTAACAAGTGACTGTCTATGAAAGATATGGATATGTCTTGGGGTATCAGTTTGTTATGCAATATTATGTTTATTTCCAGCTGGATAATACAGTGTAATCTTCCTGCAGCTTCATTGTCTGTGTTTAGTGAGTTTGAGAATAGCACATACTGTATTGGAATTGGAGAGAGCCACTATTTCTATGGGTTATGCAAGGGTGAGGATATTCTAGAAGTTGAGGCAGATGTAGTGTAGAAAGTATATGGGTGTACCCTGTGTGGTTACCCCTGCAATGGGAGTAGTGGCCTCTATTAGGTAATCAATTTTCTCAGGCACTGTTGATATTGGCCCTTTTATATGAAAGAGTCTCTGGTATTGGTTGCTCCTGTAGTGATGAGGAGCCTGAGGTTCTTGTCCTCTGATTAGACACTATTTGGGGCCCAGGTCCTTCATGGCTACAGGCAGGAATAGCAGAACCCTTTATGTGGCACTCACACTGTCTTGTCAGCCGTGCATGATCAGACAATGTATGGGGATGAGCAAAGCAGGGGACCTGTGTAGGTGTAGTCTCCTCTGAGTTTTTTGCAATTGTGAATACAGGGATTGAGCAGGATGGGGTCACTGCACAAAAATGCACTTAGCTGAAGTGCTTGCAAGAGCAGAATGTGGTTGGTACCAGGGACTTTTTTTTTTCTCTGAAACTTCTTGGGCTGCATAGCCCAAGGGTAGGAAATGGCTGGATATTTCCCCCCACCCCCTGATTTCTTTCAACTGTATTGCCCACCAGGTATTGAATGGGACTGGTCATGTAAGGGTAAATTCCTCTCAATTGAGATGCTCACAGGAGCCAAGGAGGGTGGAATATGGCCATTGCTGGGGAGTTACTCTCTGGACTTTTAGGCTGGTTGCCTCAGGGGCTGGGTTTGTGGTGGTATTGCCTAAAACTGCCTCAGCACCTCCCTGTGGGTGGGGGAGTGGTAGAAACCCAGTTGCCCCCTACTTTGTACAGAAGTAGGGGTGGGAGTGTTTGTGGGAACTGTGCAAGGCAGCCATCTTGTTCCTGGTAGGTGCTATCAGGAACCATGTATGGCTAGCAACAGCCCAGGTCTCACAGGGCAGGTTCCTGGATCCCCTAGTCCTTGTGGGTGGCTCTGACTCTACTGTACAGCCCTTTCAGTGAGTCTCTGTCAGGTCACTCCACCCAGCCAGATCTGGCTCATGAGGCAGCCACCTGCTGAGCAGTGTAGGAATGTCAATGGGGTCCCAAAGATGGGAACATATAGAAGCTTCTGTCCCTTAAAGTAGTCTAAATTCAGACAGTCCCTCTCAGGATGGCTCCTGGCTACTGCACCCTGGGGATCTCCCTGGAGATGAAGTGAATTCTTTTCTAAAGTCATATTACTCTGCTCATTTTAGGCCCTTTATCTATTTAAGCTATAAGTCTGCAAAGGGCCATGAAACTTTCAATTGTTCAGGATTGTCAGTATTTGAGCTTAGAGTTTTCTGGGATTCTTTGACCCTTATCTTTGTGCACTTTCCCTTGCCCTGCTTTGGAGCTGGGGTGGTAGATGGTGGATATTTTATTTATCTTGCTACAATGCTGCCCTATCTCTTATTTTTTTCTGTTATGTTACTGAAGTGGCTAAAAGTCACAGTGTGACCCCACTCTATCTCTAGTTCTCCTGTGAAACAAGATAATGTGCACCCAAACAATGGGCCTTCAGTCTCTAATGCTAATTATAATTAAAAATAATCAGGGATCCTTGTAGAATAGCTGATTCCATGTTTGGAGCAAAAAAAATGAAGATGGACTTGGCGTATATTATCTTACTCCTTACAAAATTCAACCTATTTTTGGCTTATAATGATTAGCAGTGGAAGTAGGAACCAGGAGATCCAAAGTGGATTTATTTGCAGAAGAAAAATAATTTTCACTTTATTAATCTTGAGTGACATTGATTTTTAGCAAATCATTTCACAAAATCACGTGATATCCTTGTGAATGGACAAAGAAATGTAGAATGGATTTTAGGACAACTATATGAAGTCAGACTATCAAACAATAGATAAATAGATGATTTGCTAGTGGGCAGAAAGAATCCAATGGCATTTAGAAAAGCTTAATCCTTGACTCTTGACCTTTTAATTCAACATTTCTATTAACAACTAGGATGATGACATGTTTATAAAATTTAGATAGGACACAGTTATGAGGGTTGGCCTACTTGCCCTGCAAGAGTGTTCTAAAAGATACCTTTAGTTTAGAACAAGGCTTGAACATGAATCATTTGAAATTTAATATGAGCAAGCATAAGATATTGAACAAGCATAAGTACTTAGTCTTTCAAAATAAACAGTCTACAATGAGAAACCACTAAATTTTAAAAAATTGAATAAGGAAGATCTAGGGTTATTAGTTAATCTAACTCAAAATGTTAATAGCATTTTTTTCTTAAGCAATCATATTAATCTAACTCAAAATGTTAATAGCATTTTTTTCCCTAAGCAACCATATTATACTATCTTGGGCTAAATTAGTGTCTAGAGCAAGGGTCATAAAACTTTCTCTGCAAAGGGCCAAATATTAAATATTTAATTTTTTGTTTGGCTTTATGATCTGCACAACTACTCAATTCTGCCCCTATAGTATGAAAATAGCCAGCGAAAATAAAGAAATAAATATGGCCATGTTCCAATGACACCTTATTTATAGAGACAAATTTCAATTTTGGATCATTTTCACATATCATGAGAGATTCTTTTGATTTTTAAAACTTTTAAAATGTGGGAGAAAAAAATCATGCTTAGCTGTGGGCCATACACAGATAGATGCAGGTGGGAGTGACTGGTAGGCACAGTGTTCTGACCCTGATCTAGATCAAAAGACTAATCTGCCTTGACAAAATATTCCTGGCAATGAGGGCAACTTAAACCCTAGCATAACAAGTGGACGAGCGAGACACATTTTCTCCATAAAAGAGAAAAATGAAGAGCATGAGGGACACTGAATAACACCCCAAAGGATGTCATATGATTAGAGGATAATATACCTGTGTTGTCTTACCAACCAGTGCAATGACAGGATATTTCAGGGAGGCAAATTTAACTGAGTACAAGGAAGAATTTTCTATCAGAGCTGCTCCACCATAAAGTAGGCTGCCCGTTAGAATCATCTTGCTGCTATTTCTCAAGAATGTTACTTGGGATTCTTCATAGAGGTGGGAATCAGTGAAAATTTAGAAATGTTATAAAGTAAACCTAACCTTCAAAAATCCTTTGGACCTCTTGATTAATGTACTTCTTTATTTCTTCAAATGAAACTGCATCAGCCTAAAGAAGAAAAAAGATGAGTCTATTAAAATAGAACACAGAAAAAATGAATTAAGAATAGAAATTTTGGGTTGGCATGCACACTTAACTTTTGTAGAGATACATTTTCCAAGCAAAAATGCTTTTGGCAATTGTACTGGATAATAAATATCATTTGATCAAATGCTGAGAATAAGTTGAAGTGCATAATTGCTTTAAAAGCTGTGAACTAGAATGGTGTCTAGTGATATTAACATATTTTCTATTAGTGGAGAGACATAGCTTCATACAATTAGGAAAGTTCCTGTTACTTCATTTTATAAAGTTAACCTAAACAGCATTATCTTGATGTTCAAATCTCAATCACAATTCAATTTCCAACCAATCCCTTGACACAGGCAAGAGTCCTTGTCTGATATTACAGTATCCATAAAGAGAAGCTGGAAGAGAACTTAAGGTATGCTGGATTAATCTTTTTTTTAATATTTATGTTTCTAGTTATATGTGGACATAATGTCTTTATTTTACTTTATGTGGTGCTGAGGATTGAACCCAGGGCCTCATGCATGCTAGGCGAGCACTCTACCTCTGAGCCACAATCCCAGCCCTGGATTACTCTTTATAAAATATTTTATCCATGAAATAAGACATTAAATTTTTCCCACTTCATGACAATTCTATAATTTACATGTAATAAGCATTAAATGTATCAAGCAATTTTCCTAATGGAAAATGTCACTGAGATCTAATAAAGTTGGTAAATTGTGTCCGTTAAATTTTTAACCCCTTGTCCAATGGTGTTTTGCATGCATTTGATAATGAATCTAACACTTATAAAGTTTTGCTATAAAATCTTGGTAATTTTAAAAGGGAGTTATTTTTCACAATGACTAGAATTTTAAAGTATTACTATTCTTTATATTTGGTTATTATCTTAAGGTATTCTGGGCAATAAATATATCCTGTACAATGTAATGTAGATTAGATATTGTGACATAGGGAATCATCTCCATTGCTTTCTATGTATGTTTCAGATATGGACATGAACAAACATTATAATGGGATGTATAGTTAGATGAGCGACTTGGAAGATCCATAGGAAATCACTATGCAGTGAGACTTTCAGACTGGAGCATGGCTTCAACTCTTCTCTTTAATTAGTGAGTCCTAATTATAAAAGTTCCTTTATAAAAGTGGAATGGAAGGCTGGGTTTGTAGCTCAGTTGGTAGAGTGCTTGCCTAGTATGTGTGATCACTGAGTTAGATTTTCAGCATCACAAATAAATAAATAAATGTCTATTGACAACTAAAAAACAATTAAAAAAAAAATGGAATGGAAAGACACTCCTCTCAGATGGGTTCTGAAGATCAAGTGAGGTGATACACAGCAAGGCTTAGAGGATCTGGCACAGAAATTCAAAAACAATAGAAACCAGCTTAAGTGTATTTTACATATTTTAAAAAGCATTATCATTGCTCTCATTATAAATGAGGTATATGGTTGATAAAGCTGGGAGCTCCTGAAGGGCTCAGCACTACTTACCGGAGAGCCAGGGATTCCTGGGGATCCTGGAGGGCCTTGGTGGCCAGGGGATCCCATGGAGCCCTTGTTTCCTGGTGGCCCCATAGGACCTATAGCTCCTTTCATGCCTGTAAGGCCTGGTTTTCCTCGTTCACCTTGTGGACCTCTGTCTCCTGGGATTCCCTGGTCACCCTGTTGGAAGGAGGGGAAAGAAAAGAATGATCCTTTCTAGAACCTCTTTAGCTGTGGCTAAGAATAAAATTTTTGGATTCACAGTGGCATTTATTCACTGAGGGACCATGGATAAGTGACTTAAGCTTTGTCACTTAAGCTTCCTTTCTTATACGGATATTAATAGGATCTACTAGGTAGGGCATTGTTGGGAAATACATGAATTAACCCAAGTAGAGTGCTGAGAACAATGTCTGGCACCTTGTAAGCACTAAAGATATAATCGTTATTGATGAAAACAGTTGTACTCAGTTGCCTGTCTAGAATGATGGAATTTCAGAAAAGTCAATATCAGTAGTCACTTCAGGCCTGGATCTCCTTCAAAATAATAAAGGAAGATTGCCAGTGGGATCTCATCAGAGATCCTCCATGTAAAAAATCTTCAGGACACTCAAAACCTCGTCTACATTGTGAACTTTCATTTTTTTTTTGCTCTTCCTGTGCTCTCATATTTGGCCTTTATTAAACTCTTTGAGTTTGTCTTCTGTGCTCGTGTCTTACCTGTTTGTGTGCATGCATGCACATGTATTCACTGTGTCCTAAATATATACAACTCATGAAGGTGAGAGATGAGAAAGCCATTGTAAAGGTTTGAAGCAGGTGCCTGGAGTAGAGCTGTCACTTAGATAGTTTACTCAATGGCATAAATGAACTACAAGAGAATTTCTTGAAGAAGATGTCAGAAAAAATTAGGAATGAGATCATATTAGATGTTCCTGAAGTTTCTTTAATGTTGTCTTTTATGCTGCAATATGTCCACTAGTATATGCAAAAGAGGGAGAGAGTGCACACACAGTGGGTGCTTCAGTTACAGATTTTCAAACATTTAGTTGCACAATTCTAGGAGGTGATGTCCACACCAAATGTGATGGACTGGTGCTTGTGCTTCCCAGAATTTCATCACATTAATCTTTCATTTGTAATTATTTTGCAGAAGGACAAAATGTGTTATCTTGGTTTTAAAGAGTAAAAATAAATGAACAATTATAGAGACCTTTTGTGATCACAGGATGTGAAGAGAGAATCCATATACAAAGAGAAAATGGATGGATCTAATATCAGTGCTACTGTATCTTAGTTATAAAAATGTATCTGTACAGATATATCAACCCAGCATATGCTGGGAGAAATTCCTGAGATAACTTAAAAATAAAAATAAAAAAACTGCAGAAGAAGGGGACTAGTTAAGTGAAATAAGGCATATCCAAAAAGTCAAACATAAAGCCATTAAAATGTAGATGTAGATTTATATTTACAGACAAGGACAGTCATTATATATTGGTAGATGAAAATAATTTATAAAACACAGATTTTTCAGAACACTGTTTATATTGGTATACATAAATATGTGTACTATGTGTAAGTGTATTATGTATAAGGGTCAGAAATGGAAATATGTCCAAAGTACCAGTGTTTCTCTGTGTAAGGAGACAAGGCAAACTTTCTTTTTAAATTGATATTTTGTTCATATTTCTTTTAATTAACATGATTTTTAGAGAGAGAGAGAGAGTGAGAGAGAGAGAGAACTTGTTTAATATTTATTTTTTAGTTTTTGGTGGACACAACATCTTTATTTGTATGTGGTGCTGAGGATCGAACCCAGGCCGCACGCATGCCAGGCGAGCACGCTACTGCTTGAGCCACATCCCCAGCCCCAAATTAACATGATTTTTTAAAATTAGTAAACTAGACAATAGTACACAAACATGTGCCACACTTGTGCATAATAGCATCCCTACATAGAACGACGCATGGTAATGCTCAAGTAACTGGCAGTAGTGGCACAATGCCAGTCCTTACTAGAATACATCCAGGTTTAGTAAAGAAAAGAGTGTCATGTATCAATAACATTAGCAGCAACCCAAATGGTTTACATAAAAGCAAATCACATAAATGGCATTACTACAACTTCCTTACAAATGCACTTCCCCTTTCTATTTCTCTACTTCCTCGCACCATCTTCCTTATTCTCCTGAGAACCCCTGACCGAAAGGGATACTAATCAGGGCAGTTTTGGTTCCCAGGAGGTATGTAGTGAGGTCTGAAGACACTAAGAGTGGCCACAATTAGAGGGATAGTGGTGCTATTGCATCTAGCAGGTAGAGGCCAGGGATGCTGCTGAGCATTCTTCAGTACACAGGACCGCCAGCAACATCACTTATTTGCCCCCAAATATTAACAGTGCTGAGGTTGAGAAAACCCCCTCTAGGTAAAAGGAATCATGGGCAATGGTTAGAGTAGGCATATGTGTGTAGGACAATAGGTGGGCAAAGCTTTCCAAACAGAATAGCAAAGTAGAATTAGGTATGTATAAAGGCCAAAGTGGCAGGTGTACCTTCCATGTGACCTGTTTCTGGTTTTTTTATCATGTTTTATACCTAATAGAGATCTTGGGTCATATACACCTAGACTTTTTCATATTGGGAGATTTGGAGGTATCTACGTGCATAATTGTGTAATTAACATGATGGTACAGTTATAATTAGTTTGAACAGCAATCACAATAGTAATATACATACCCGTTCTCCTTTGGGGCCTCGGTCTCCAGGTTTACCCATAATGCCCTGAAAAACAGATGTCAACATTAAAGTCACTATTTGCCGAGATTCTTAATCAATCTGATTGACTAAAATGTTGGTAGATATTCTGGATGCACTTACATATTAGAGAATTTTAATTTTACCTGGCATTTCACATACCTGAGCACCTGGTAATCCATCTTTTCCATTTATTCCCTATCAAGACAAAAATGATCAATACTTCTAATCTTTCAATAACAGACATAAACACAACAAAAGGGTAAAGATTCAAGGACAGTTTCTTAATTATACTTGTTAGAGCTTGCTGAGTCAATGTGGTAAAATAGAAAAACAAATCAACAGACAGCTCTGAGTTCAAATTCTGACCCTGTCATTTACTAGTTCCATCAACCTCAGTAGCATCAGATGCTTCACTTGTAAAGTGAGGAATGGACTTAGAACTAAGGATTCAGCAAGATAAAACACAGCTCCCCATAGTAGTAGCCAAAGGTTCTTTCCACACTTATTTTCCTGTTTAGGTGCATTCTGGGAGATAAGAAGGTGCCCCACGACACTAGGTGGCTGGGGCACAGAATTTTTGTTACCTTCTAACAAAATTTCCAGCAGAGAGAGTCTCTTAGTAACCATCTCAGTTACTAATGAGGGAATTTTACAACATGGCCAGAGTCTGATCCTACTATGAAATAAGTTGTCAGCCACAGAACATTGTTATTTTTCAGCTAGAAAATATGAAAGGAAAGCTAGAAATCTGTAACCATGGTTTTTGAGACTATTAAGTAGTGACTTTTTATTAGAAAACTGGAAGTTTGCTAAACTTTAAAAGGCAGTTTGGGAAGTGGTAATAAAGCCTAGGCCTGCTCGGAGATTTATAGGACTGGGAGAACTATTGGCCAGGAGGTAGATATGAGGAGGAAAAGTACTCGGGGTCAAATCAAATACCCAGGGCCCAACAGCAGATGTGTTTTGGAGATTTGATTTGAAGAGAGAGCGATCAAGGTGAGGAACATGATTTCTTGGCCAGCTGGCGACTGCACGGGAATGCTCCTCTGAAAAGCCTGAGAGACTTTTATTGTGCTGGGATGGATTCTGTGAGGATGGAACTGCAGACAGCTGCAGGTCTTCCCTGCTGTAAATTACGCTGATATCTGTCACAGTTGATAACCCAACTGCAGCCTCTCAACCTCTCTGAAATATCTTGGGAATTATCTACAGTGCTTTAACTAAGAACAGATTACCTGAAGAGCATGGTTCAAATAATTTATTACATTCAGGTACACAAGCAACAAAGATAAAGCTCATTAAGGAGAGGAAGCAAAAGAAACAATTGTCACTTGAATAAAAGAAGATAGATCTACTGTAAAAATGTAACTCATGCTTTTGGTAATAATATAGGGAAAGAAATAAGTCTGTCCTTTTTTTCCCCTCAAGTAATTTATCCAAGACTATCATGGGTATACCCCTTTGTATATAAAGAGTACAAGAGTCCTGCTTTGGAAATTAATATTTTTTGTTTTTTTAAAACTTCTGGGTATTTTCCTCTCTCCTTGCCTCACTGGTCTGCCAGAACCCTATACCTGGGTATGACCAATTTTGTGCTGGCCCCACACCTGCCTCTGAGCAGTGACTGGCTGAAGAAAACTGTGTCTCTTAGCTCACATGTCCTAAGTATGTGATGGCAGATTGCAAGCAGTCACTCTGTTGCCATGTTATTCTTCTATTTCCCAATATGATTCCTTTTCCTTCTCTCCAAAAGTACTCTTTCATGTATTTTCCTGTTTCTTCAAACCTCTAGCATTACTGCTCTACTCCTCATACCTATCAGATGACCTCAATTCTTTCACTGGGACAATACACATGAGAGAACTCCTTCACCTTCTCTTTACCAGCTTGTTCCATCAACCTTGTACCCCAACTTCTGTAGTGCTACCTCCACCCTTCACAGCTAAGGATGAATGACAGTCTTCCTAGTTAAAATGAATTTTCACCTTTAAACAGTGGGAGAGGACAGACAACTTACTTAATGTGTCATGAAAATTTTGCCCTCTCAACTGAGCCTTTCTTATCAAGATACTAGCATGCTGTAATCTCTCCCATCAGTGACCTCCACATCTTTAAATCCAGTGGAAAATTCTCAGCTATTGTATTACTTATTTGTATGTTATCACTCCTTAACTAAAATACTTAGTTAACTTGACACCAATGAAACTCCATTTGTCTGGTTTTCTTCACATCTCATTGGCTGTACCTCCCGGTCTTCTTTGCTGGACCTTTTTAATATTCTAAGTGCCTTCTTCCCTACATTTCCACAGTGACTCCATTTTATCCAGGCCCAGGTTTAAATAGCCAAATCTTTCCAATCCTGATCTCTTCATCAATTCTGGATGCATATATCCCCAGCATACTTGACATTTCCACTATCTTTTAGTGCTTCAATATGAATGTGTCCAAAATGGAGAACTCTTGGTTCTATTTCCAAACCTATACTATCTCCAGTCTTCCCCATTTTGCCAAATGACACTACTTTCATATGGTTGCTCAGATTCCAAACCACAGCTTTGACTGGTGTGTCCCTCACATTTCACTTTCAGCCTAACAGCAAGTCTTGTCAGCTGTCCCTTTAGTGAACCTCCTAACTCGCCCTAACCATGACCAGCTGATTTCTACCACCCTTATTTCTCATGGATGTGCTTCTTACAGTCTAATCTTCATACAAACAGAGTGAGTATTAAAGTGTAATCTGAATTTTGTTCCCTGCTACAAAAGTTCCAAAAGGTTTCCATCATTTCTCAGATGAAAGTCAAACTCCATTCCAATGCTTAGAATTCCTTGTGGGCTGGCCACTGCTTACCTCTCCCTCAGTGTATCCCCCATTCTTCTCTCTCAGTTCATCTTGACTTCATGCCATTTGCTATTCCTTGACCTCACCCCACTCACTTCTATACTAGCCATTTCTTTTGCCTGAAATGATGTTTTCTCCAACTTCTTCATGACTTGATCTCTTTAATGCTCAAAATGCAAGCTATCTCTGACCACCTGATTTAAATCATACTGTAGTGCTTCACTCTAGCTATTCTTCTACCTGCAAACGTGGGTGTATATTTGTTGACTTTGTTCTTACACTAGAAAACAAACCCTATGGGTTGTCAGCACCCAGAACTGGGCTCAGGGTGTAGCAGGTGTTCAAGGATTATTTGTTGAATGAAAAATTATTTTTTGTATAATCCTCTGGGGACCCAATAGCAAGATTTTACAAGATGGGGTTAGGAATGAGGACTGGGTAAGGGGTGGTGAAGAGCAGGGAATATAATCAATATTTACTGAGCACTTCCCACAGCCAGGCACTGGGAATCCTCCCATATGTCATGTCACTTAACTGATTCACAATAATGAATCATAGTTCAGACTCAAATGGGTCATAGTTCAGACTCAAATCTTCTCTCTAAATTGCATACTTTCCATTTATCATATTGCCTTAGGGAATATGGTGTCAAGGAATACACCAATCCTGATGTTTCACAGAGGTATTGAACTAGCTTCGTGAGCCTTGTGATGCTTGCTAATTCACCTTCAATCTTCCCCTTCTCCTGAGTTCCCTTTCCCACACAGACTACAGCAAATAAATAAGTAAAAGGGGCAATGACCTTCCATGAAGAATAACTCTGAGAGTGGGCATATCTGGTTCATCTTCTATCTTCTCTCTCATGACCCTGTGCATCCTTAGCAAACAATAGGGACTAGACAAATATATGTTGAATAGGAATGCTTTTTTGCAATGTTGCATCAATACTATATATCAGTAGTTAAGAGCTCTTGTAGGACATGAGGGAATGATATATTCAGCAGCAGTGATTTATGAAAGTGTGAGAACAAGGCTTATATTTTAAAGGAGGGAATTTGAGAAAATAGCTTCTACTTTAGTCTTCACATACAGATATTATATCTGTGAGTCTTTGGTTTCTTTGTAATTTAGTAAATGACAGGCCATTTTATTTATTTCTTCACTCTGTGGATTTTAGACTAAAGAAATAATGAGAACTTTCCAGGCACTTAAAACAAACGTCTGACCTTTTTCATCACTGAGATGTAAAAATATCATATAGAGAGCTAGGAAACTCATTGAGAATCCCCACTTAGGCCCCTCCAGATCCATGTGTAGAACCTACCTTCTTTAAAACTGTTTATTCAAATCTCACAATTTCGGAGGAGATGGGCAAAGAGGTAATGCTTGGAACACTTCTCTAAATGGCAAATTTTAAATAGTAAAAGAAAACACTTACTGGCTTTCCAGAGGGTCCTTCTGGTCCAGGGAAACCAATATCTCCAATAGGTCCCCTCTCACCCTATAAATGTGTCCAGAGAAAAAAATTAATTGCCAATAAATGCTTTAAAACAGCTTGCAAATACAAAAAAGTACAAATATGATAAAAGTGGCAACTCACTGGCTCCCCTGGAACTCCTGGAGGCCCTGGGGTACCTGGCTTCCCCTGATAAAACAAGTCAGAGATGTGTTAGGAGCCAAGCTACTGAATGATGCCATGTGCTTCACCATGACTTTCAAGTGCTACCAGGGCAGTAGGTCTTGAAGTTAAAATGGCATTCCTAAAAGGACAGAGTCCAGGGCATTCTGCAGACTCTACTGCAGATTGGAGCGCTGTTCTCCGTACATTTGTGTGGAGGGGTGGAAGGACAGAATGCTTTTGAAAATGTTAAACCAATGTATCCTCATTATTGGAAATCCCCCTTATGCTTCCCCCCACCCACCAGCAGCTCATCTTTATAGAGAGGAAGAGCAAAGAAGGTCAAAGAAGTCTCCCAGGCTTTCAATTTCACAAGAAAGTTTTTCTGTTCATAGTAGGACAGCTTTAAAAAAAAAAAGCACTGGCTTGGTTTGAAAATCCATGTTTCTGTTGAAATGGGGGCGGGGAAAGATTGCTTCAATCTACTGTGGTATGGAGGATGGACACTATGAAGATAGGGAGACCATGGGGAGGACACTCTTCTCCTGAGAAATGCCAAAGTGTCCATCCCAGGCCTATGGTATTGCTCTTGAAGGAACTACTTTCTACCCCTTGCACCTAACATGGTTGGGAAAACAGACAAGATGGGATGTAGGTGTGGAGCTGAGAGATGGGAAATCCCAGTAAGTTCTGGGGCATATGAAAAGGAAGAATCTTTTTCTTCTTGTCTAGAATTCTGGGAGAGACTCCTTACAGTACAGAAATGGCAGAGTGGTAAAGTTAGAAAGACACAATGTCTGGGGGCACATTTTTGGCTTCTACAGGAACTCCTAAAGTTCCTGTGGGCCCAAGTGGGATAGGTTAGAGCTGAGAAGACAAATGTCTTGGTGTAGGACATGGGGTTATAAGGTGCTGATGCCTCAAGATATGAGAAAAAAGAATTGGGGACATTGGTGGAAGACAGAAGCTGTTCCACAGGTCACCAGCAGAGAACTCAGGGAACCTTGGGAAAACATGGCCCAGCTGATCAGATGGCCCTACCCATGGCCAACACACAGACATCTCCTTCTGTTTACCCATGTGCCATCTTGGGAGAAGGTAAAGAGAGAAGCTGTGGAGAAGCCCTTAGACAACCCTGACAATATTGGCAGACATAGACTGGACTGTTCAAGAAAGAGCAGTATGGGTGGTTTGCATCTCAGCTGAGTAACCATATGTTCAAGTGCGCAGACCCCATCTCTGTTTCAGCTATAATAATCATCTTTGAATTTTTATAGCATTCAAATATAGATAATACAAAATTTACCATTTTAATCATTTTTAAGTATACAATTCACTGGCACTGAGTACATTAATAATTTAATAGTCACCACTGTTTAGAGCCTTTTAACTTTTCAGAGCCATAGCAAGTTCCAATTAAAACAAAAGCACATCTTTAATTATACAGTTGCATATTTTCAGTGTAAAATTTTTACACCTTAATATTTTTCTAATCATTAATGATTTTGATTGAGATATGAAAGCTAATTTTAAACTAAGTGTGTCAGATCTTAGGTAGTCAAATATGTGGCAGGCATTTAAAACATTTAAAACATGCTATATATCTTTGGAATTCCTTTTTTTTTCTCTCATTTAAAGCATGCTATATATCTTTGGAATTCCTTTTTTTTTTCTTCTTGGCTTTGGAAATGATCACAGGTATTGTAAAGACTTTCACTGGTGGTCAGTAATTTTTCTTTGAATATATACTTAATTTAAGACCATAGCAAAAAGTAATTTGTAGTTATACCCATATGAATAAAATAGAAAATTAAGCTTAATTATATTACATGGAAGCAAAAACAGAATGTGAATATAAGAGGCAATTCCAGAAACAATCTAGGAATGGTGGTAAGGAAGGGAGTGAGGAGAGAATGGTACTGTGAAGTTGACTTTCAAGAAGAATCTTCCTTTTTTTTTTTTTTAAATCAAGTGTTTGCTAAAGGAAATACTTTAATGTTACTTTTACAATTATACAAATATTTATGTGATCTAGACAAGTAAAATAGGGGATGTAATTTTTCTATAAAGATATAGATTATAGATTGGGCTTTACTTAGTGTTTTATCAGTTAAATGGATGAAGCACAGTGACTGGTGCTTTGGTAGGTGGTGAAAGTAGTACTTTCTTTCTTTCTTCCCATGTTCCTCTTTCAAATGGTTTTCATTGACTTTCTATACCACTACACCGGACCTGCCCTGCAGGGGCACCTAGCAAGAGGATAAATGGCCTCTTATTCATAAAGCATGACCACAAAATTTTAATTAGAGCATCATGAATGAAGATCAGAATGATCCCGAGGGCTCACAGAAATGATTTCAACCTTTCCTGGAGCACTTCCTATTCATTTGAAAAGACCTTGATGAGATTAAAACATTTGACACTAGAGAGCAACAAAAATGATTGAGAGGACTGAAGGGCTAGTTTATGAGGAAACATTAGCAGCGATAAAGCTCTGCTAATAACACTGGGCTAAGGGATAATACAGGCAGATTGCAGCTTAATAGAAAGAATTTGAAGCACAGGCCTGGGCTGAGAACTCTGCCTTTTGAAGATTGAGAAACCTTGAAATATGACAAGAATAGAGAAACAAAATACAATTTTTATCTGTGCTCATATGTCAAATGTAGTCAATTAACTGGGTTTCCCTTCCACCCACCTATACCACCCCAATAAAAGTGACTTAGGAAAGAAAAATACAAGAAGAAAATGAATGGAGCGTTCTTGGATTGGGAAAGGGTTCTATTATTTAAACCAGAGGTTCCAGGAACCTAATGCCATAGTTATGGTGTGCTTCCCCAGTCCTTCTTGATCCCTGGCTATAAATTTATTGTGGAGAAAATATGAACCTACAAAAATAATGTAAGATCATAATAACTCACCGATGTTCCAGCTATTCCTGGAGGACCTGCTGGGCCTCTATCTCCCTGTAAGGATTAAAGTAAAAATGCTATTTAAAATGATATCTATAAAATCATACAAATGCTCAAATAATTTGGATTTGGTAAGGCTTTTCTTTAGATCTCATAAATGCTATCAATATTAGCTGGCATGAATTTAGAGGGTGAACAGGAAAACAACAAAATGATGATCCAATGTCACATGTTATAGCACACCCCCATAAAACCAAAGAAAATAGGATTCAATAGGATTCCATATATACAGTTAAAAGTTGTCAGTATATTGCATATATTAAAAAAAAACCCATTACTATTACTTGAAAGATTAGGCCCATCAAGTACCTTCTTAAAAGCTTTTCCTACACTTGTCTCATTGGATATAGGGTTAGAATAAAAAGATCTAGAAGTAAGGATTTGTAGTTTCATTTGATGGATCGAAAGATCCCTTTAATTGTCTGAAAAACAGTGACTCAACTCTTTTTCAAGGCAATGTGGCTTTCAGATATAGCTGACAATGCTAAGAATACTAATGGTTATATATGGGATAATAAAATGGCAATTTCACTGGGCCGAACCTATATTTTTAAAACTTTATAACTTCACTTAGGGACATAAAAGAAGACCCAATTAAATAAAGAAATTTGCTTTGTTCCTGAAGGGTAAGACAATGTTATAAAGGTGTCATTGCTATCCAAACTAACATATAAACTGAATGCAATTTCTTACAACATTGTAGTTTGATCAAAAGATATTAGAGCTCACTTGAAATAATACATAAAATAAAAACCTTAAATACTAGCAATACCAATATTTAAACATAAAGCTATAATAATTGCAATGTGAGATACTGACATAAAATTAAGCAGTACATTGATGTAATACAATATAAATCTCAGAAATAGACCAGCATTTATAATAGGATGTTAATTAAGAAAGGGATATATGATTCAACAAATAAAGCTAATAATTGGGCGATTTCCTTTAAAAAGTTTGATTCCTGTCTCTATGTAAAACTAAAACAATGTGAACTATAAGAGCTAAAAGATGTATTAGTAATTGGTTGAAATGAAAATGTCATTTTGTGTATAAAAGCAAAACACAACCATTTGTTACGTGATTGTTATTTGATTATATTTATAATATTATTAAATGAAAGGAAAAGATGAACTAACATTAAAATTCTAACCTATGTTTAGATAGAAGTAATGTCTTTAACATATACAGCATAGCCACAGTCAAAAAGAAGAAACTAAAAGAAAAATAAATGCATCACAATCTCACCCATATCTTAAAAAGTGGATCTACTAGAAGTAGATAATAGAACAGTGATTTCCAGAGACTAAGGATAGAAGGGGTGGTGGAGAAATGGGGAGAGGCTGTGTAATGAATACAAACACATAATCAGATACAAATAAGTTCTGGTGTTCCATTGTAAAATGCAGGATGGCTATGGTTAACAATGTTTTATATATTTCAAAATCTCTAGAAGACTAGATTTTGAATGTTCTTACCACAGAGAAATAATAAGTGTTTGAGATGATGGATTTGCTAATAACTCTAATTTGATCATTATATACTGTATATGTATATGAAAACATTGTACACCTAAATATGTACAATTATTATGTAGCTAAAAATTTTAATAGGCAAAATTGTAAGTTTCAGTCTATTTCCTTTAAAATATGAAATTTTCACCCTTGAATACACTAGAACTTCCATTTGTTGAAATATTGTACATGTGATAAAGATTAATGTTAAGAGGACTCCTCTTCCAATGTTCCAATTTCTCATTTCTTTGAATCACTCTCTAGTAATCTTGCTTCATATTCTCATAGATACATTTGAAGACCTTGCCAATAAAAATGTCCGCACCCCTCTAGATCCTTAATTTCATTCATTCCAACTTTGGGCCACCATTTTCTATCATAACTCACTGCCCTGAGTACCCTAAACCCCAGACCTATAACCCATTAATGGTACAAATTTTTCATTGTCCTTCACTCCATGAATGGCCTTTGCCTAGTTTAAACTCCATGGTCATTTGCATAACCTCTCTCTTGTATACCATTAACTTTCTTATTCTATTCTTGTTGCTACTACTCATTTTTCAAAACCAGAACACTATCTAAATCCAACTTCTCTACCCCATGGCTAAAGAAGCACATAATCTCAATTACCTGGCCTCACTTCACTTCATAAACAGGAACCTCAGTAGGGCCCCTGGGGTTGCCCAGTCATCACACTTCTGTGGTCTCTGAATCACTTTCTCCTCCCTCCCCTTCTTTCCCCCTAGTGGGTTTTCCCTTTAAATCTCCAACCTCTTTTCCCTATTTTACTCTCATATTTGATCTTGCTTCTTCCATCTCTGAGAAAATTTAAGCAATTGGAAAAAAATATTTTTATATATAGACTCCAACCAATATATCTTCCCACACATCAGCACCTGCCTTCCTGTATGCTGCTTTCCCACCTGTTACCATAGATATTAACTAACCTCTCCATTTATGTACTAGGTCCCCTTCCCTCTTAGCTATTTAAAGATGTTATTCCAGCAATTCTCATCCCTTGGTCCTATATCATTGGCCCTGTTGTCCACCTTTCTACTGGATCATTCCTTTAGCATACAAGTATTCTAGTATTTTTGTAGTCTTTAAAATTCATATAATAAATCCTGACCCTACTTCCTCTGGAATCCTCTGGCCCATTTGCTTTCCTTTGCAGCAAAGCTCCTTGAGCATTGTTTGTATTGTACTAACTGTCTCTCTATTTAATCATTCTCTTAAATCCATTAAAATCCAGCATTTGCTTCTATCATGATTTCTCTGGTCAAGGACATCTGTGACCTCTACATTGCTAGATCCAGAAGACAAATCTTGACCTTCCTACTTGATCTATCTGCAGTATTTGAGACAGGTGACTCTTTCTCCTTGACTATTTTCTTTTCACTTCCAGAACAAGTTTTCCTCCTGTCTCTCCATCACCTCTTAGTCTCCATTCCTCATTCTTCTATTTTTCTGGAACCTTTTAATGTTAGAGAACTTCAGGGTTTAGTTCTTGATCTCTTCTCTTTTTCAAAAAATATGTCATTCTCTTGGTGATATTATTCAGTCTCCTGGCATTAAGATAGTATTTTTGGAACAGTCAGCTTTATATCTCCACTTAAACTTTCTTTTCCACACTCCATACTGTATCATATTGTGTACTCAATACTCTGTTAACTGGCTAGCCAGTTTTGGCTGCCCATCAGCAGAAGTGGTGGTTGACAATTTATAGAAACGAAAGCCATGTGATAGACATATGTAGATTTAGCTATGTTGTGCTAGTCAGAAAAGTCAGCTTGTTTGGTATCGAGCTGGACAGGGATAGGTTCTACTTTAGAATGAGGACATCCAGGAGCTCTCTGTTTTACCTCTGCTGACTAGTAGGCATCTTCACATTTGACCTCATGTCTAAAATTAAACTCCCAGTTGTCCTCAACCACTTCAAGTGGGTTCTGCTTATAGCTTTCCCATTTCAGTGGATAATCTTCCCATCATACCAGTTTACTCAGGCTATGACATATGGATTATTTCTTGATTCCTCTTTATTTGCTCCTACTCACAGCTAATCAATCAGAAAATCCTGTTGGCTCTTACTTCAAAATACATCTGGAATCCAGACATTTCTCACCACCTCCACTGATTCTGCTCTCACCTGAGCTGACATCAATTCCTACCTGGCTTCCCTGTTTCCCCCACAGTCCTCAACTGCAGGTTCTGTCATTCTCAGAAACCACCAAAAGCTCTACATTTTACTCAGGGTGAAAGATAAAGTCCTGATAGAAGTGTCTTTATTAATGCTTCTCAAACTACCTAGGTGAAGGAGTGGTTTATTATTTTCTAATACATCATAGTTCCCAGGATAAATCCATCGATCACATGTTTGCTAGATAATTTTAGACATTATTAGACACGTTTTATAGGCTTACTTTAAATTTCTGTACTTAATTGGCAAAAAACCCACAACCAAGAGTCTGCAGACTAGCACTGGTCCTCTAGTGGCCACACTTTATCACTGCTCTACATGATGAATCAATCCACTCCTTACTTCTGCCCCCACCTCTCTGACCTCATCTTCTACCACTCTCCTGATCTCTTTGAATGTAGCAGGGAATTTCATGTCTTAGAGCCTTTAGACCTTCTGTTTCCTCTTTCTGGAACTTTCTTTTCTTGCTTGGTGCTGAGGATCTAATCTAGGGCCTTTCACATGCTAGGCAAGTACTCTACCACTGAGCTACATACTCTTAGTCCTTGAACATTCTTCCTTTATACTTGAGGGACTTGGCTACCTCTCCTTTGCTTCCTCAAGTCTTTGCTCAGATCTTGCCTCTGAGACACACTATTCAATCACAAACTCCAACCCCACTTTTCAAGCATTCTAGAGCTTCCTTAGGTTGGTCCACTTTTTCCTTTTCCATAGCACTTGACAATGGTGTTTATCCTTTAGTTTCTGCATCCAACACTTTACTAGAACATACATTCCATGAGAACATGAGTTTTTGTTTTGTTCTCTTACATCTCCCCAAATCTAAAAGAGTTTCTGGTATAAAAGTAGGTTATCATCAGTAAACATTTTTGAATGTTGAATGAACACATTTCTAACTTCTGTGCTTACCTTTACACCTGGAAATCCTTCTAGTCCTGGCAACCCCATTGCACCAGGCTCTCCCTGTTAAACACAAACATAATGCAGGAGCAATGATCAGCAGGTTTTTAAGCACTGGTTTCAAAAACAAAAATCTTTTTTGCTTACCGTCTCTAATGCTGCCTAACCACCTCAACACTGATGTGTAATTTAGCAAGTAAATGGCTTGCTCTATCTAAAGCAATGTATTGTTGCATTTTGTGTCCAAAAATAGTTTGAGAATAAAAGCTATTCTCCAGAGAGGTTTGAGTTTATTTTGATTATTTTTCTGTCTAGAGGGATTTATTCTGATTAGATTCTTAGTCAGAATAACTCTAATTTCAATAAGAATTAGAATGAAAAGTTGGACTTCAATAATGTTTGCCAATTTGAGGTGCTGGGGCTGATGGATTGCCAGAGAATAAAACTTTTTAAGAGTGGATGAAGATGAAGCTCTCAAAGCAGTTTGTCATTCTTAGTATTCTCTGAAGCTGGACATGTGAATGCTTAAGACGATGGCCCCAGGAGCAGCCTCTCCAATGATTTTAAAAGTCACTGCTCAAATCAATGTGTCATTGAAAGGGGATGGGAAAGCATTTTCTACAAACATATAAAACCTTTTTACTTGTTCTAGTGTACTGACCCAGGTTAACTGGAACCTGTAGGCCTTTGAAACATTTGGGAAAGCTGTGGTTAATTTTTAAAATGTTTCTGTTAGTGCGTTATAATTATGCATAGTCCTGGGGTTCATTTTTACATAATCGCACATACATGGGATATAATTTGCTCCACTTCAGCCCTCATTGCTTCTACTTTCGATCCCTTCCTCCCCCACCCTTTCCACTTCCTCTATTCTGCTGGTTTTCCTTCTATTTATTTATAGTTTTTTTAATTAGTGCTTTAATAGATGTACATAAAGGTGAAATTCACAGTATATTCATGTGTACAGAGCATAATTTAGTCAGATTCATTTCACCATTCTTCCCTTTTTCCATCCCTTCTTCCTCCCCTTCAATACTCTTCCTCTACTTCTCTGATCTCCCTTCTATTTTCATGGGATCCTCCCACTGCTCCCCCCCTTGACTTTGAGTCTGGCTTATTTCACTTAGCCTAATGTTTCCCGGTTCCATCCATTTATCAACTATGGTTGATTTTGAAATATTGGGACTAAATATTGGGGCTTTTTAATTGAGGTAATTTGGGGGAGCTGTTTGACTTCTTGTTAATAAATTAATGTTAACTGCAATTATATTTTAGGACACTGGATGCTTTAAATATAATCACATGGAAAAGCAAGCTACCAAATTTTATTCTCTGTAAATGTATTTTTTTTACACATAGTTCTAATCTTCAAAAGTATTACCAAGGCTCTAACTTCCATTATTATGATATTATACTTAATCCAGAATACTAAATAAGTGAGCATAGCTTGGTACTTTTTATGCTTCAGAAATCCTTTTAAATGCTCACTGATATGTAACCTGTCAATCAGAAAAATAGATTAAGAAGATGCTCAGATTCTATTCTGTATAAACCTCTGTAAAGAAAGCCTTGGGTTATTGACAAATGAAATATACTCTTTGATTCTCTTTGTTTACATTCTCTACAGTCCTTTGATCACTTTTTTTCTTTTATCAATTGAACACCGAAGGAATGAAATGGTTTGCCTCAGAAGACAAATTCAATTAAAGGTAATTTTCCTTCGTAAGGGCTTACTGAGCCAATTAGAAATAGTGGTGCAGATATATCATCATGGGACTTACAGGAGCCTGAAAGAGTACATTTTCACCTGCCCATCTCAAGAGGGCAATTTTCTATCTCTGACCTATAATTTTCCTGCTACTGGCTTATGTGAGGTATTATTTCTCCATCCAGGCCAAGTGGTAGGAGATTGCAAGAGCGACAAAGTGAGGCTGATACAGGCCCTGAAAGGGGAATCTGGTCCCCTCCCTCCCCCAGGATAAGCCTGAATATTTACACAGCATTTATTTAAGTTTGTGGTTCTATATTTGTTTTTGTGCTTTATGCAATTCACATCTCTAAAAGCAGGAAATTAGTTTTTATTCATTACCTTTTGTTTCAGCTAAGAAACTAAAAAACTAGTCTCTTCAAATTCTACTCAAATACATCTTCATTTCTGTGCCAGCCACATTGTAATGCAAGCAAATTATAACTTATCCTTTATTATAACATCTAAACTTTCTCACCTTATTCTGCAAGAAACTTGAAAGTACGCTCCAAAAAAATCGGCAAGAAGTCTAAGTACACCTATCTTTCTCAAAGGCACTGTTCTGTGTGTGAGTATGAAAGGTAAAGACTAGGAGGAAACTTTCATCAATATGATGGAAGATAATTCAAAAGGGAATGAATGAGGGGCTGGGGTTGTGGCTCAGTGGTGTAAGGCTTGCCTCGCATACATGAGGTGCTTGGTTCAATCCTCAGCACCACATAAAAATAAATAAATAAAATAAACAAATTGTGTCCAACTACAACTAAAAAAATTATTTTAAAAAAGAATAAATGAAATATTTGGTAAAAAAACAAAGTTACAAATGAAGGAAGCATGAATAGCCAGACAAAATAAACTTCTACATTACAAATTTGGGGTACAGAATATACTAATTAGTTGAAATAATGTTTTCAGAGGAAATAAATTGGTTTTCAATTTATATTGCCTAATAATGAAATATAAGCTTTTTAATGCATCTCCTTTGAAAATATATTTAGATGTACAAAAATTATTTTATTGCTTGTCCTTTGCTGGTTTAAAATTCACAGCTTTATCACATTGTGCTATTAATAACAAGGCCTTAGATTTTTTTGACATGAAAATGACTTGGAAGTTTATTTCAGGTTTAGGTACATTAGAGTTTCAAGTTTATACCCAAAGGTTAAAAGGATATACAAATGCAACATGAAGGACGAAACATATGCTTGAAAAGGACATGAAAAGAAAAAATGCCAAGGATTAAAGGGAATCTAATTGAATTTGGCAGGACTTTTACAGTGAGACTTCATGGTTGAGAAAGATGCTGAGAACAATTATCATCCTTTGGGTGGCTGGAGGACAGGATCTCCTTCCTTGCTGAGTGTTAACCTCCTGATCTGTTCCACCTAATAAGTGGGTTTATGACAGCATACATTTTCAGCAGAATAATTGCCTAAGACAGTCAAAACAAACAGCCCCCCCCACTATTTTTTTTTTTTTTGGGTTGGGGAGATGTCAGATGTATTAAGGAATTTCTCTTCAGTAAGTATTTCTATAACTTACTTAAAACTGAATCAATCATCAAAAGAGGGCTATTAGAAGAAAATGTTCCATTTATCAAGAGCTTTATATGTGTCTAAATCACCGGATGATTTTTAAAACACACCGATGAAAAGAGATGAACCTCAAGGGCAGTGACAACATCTGGACTAATGCATCTTAAAAAAAAAAAAGACACATGCTGGCGTTTCTTCTTGTTGCCTCTGACATGTTAATTGATGAATACGTTAGAAGACAGGCCATCTTTGTTTGATGCACTTCTGTCAAATGTTAACAAAAACCTCTTTTCTAAGTGACACAAAACATGGAAACATACATACCGCTGGGCCAGGATCGCCTTTTGGGCCCTTCAAGAAAAACATAGAAAGTCATTTTTTAAATAATATTCTGTAATTTTGTTTCAGTCATTAAACATTTTGGCTCAATTTGTTTTTAATACATGTAAGGATATTTGTAAAAGCTTTTACTTTTGCTACAGATTGGATTTGAAAGATTAAGCAACTTGATGGGACTCCTGTGAAAATTATTGCTTAGACATTTAGTTTTTAGATTTACAATGAAAAACAATACAATTATGCTACATGATAGTTTTTGTTATTTTGGCCATGTACATTTTTCAATTTTATAGTAATTGGCTTCACTTATTTCTTCCCAGTGTAAAAACAAGTCATATTGTAACATGCATATTAGTCTGTTTCTCTCTAATATGGCAGTTCAGCTAAAATGTGCTAGATGATAAATGGTTATACTTACAGGGGGACCAGGTGGCCCTGGATAACTAGGAACGTTCATGCCACCCTTTAGGAAAAAATAAAAAAATTATAGCAACCTGTAACTAAAAAATGATTTAAAAATAATTCCATAGGTAAATACCTGGATTTTATATAAACTGCTCATGCCATTTCCTTCATTGAATGGTACACCCTTTGGAAAGAAATGGAAAACAGGATTACTTTAATACTTAGCATTTCTACATATTATCATTTTACCAAATGGTACTATCCCTACTATATTTTTTAGTTTAAAAATTTTTCTTATTTTAGTGAGTAAGTTTAGTATTATAAGTAAAATACAATGTTTCCACTTTTGGCTTTCCCAAAGCAAATGTAGGGAAAGCAATGAAAAGGAGTGAGAACTACACCTGGAGCACAGACGCTTTCAGTTGGGGTTTGAATAATGTTCATGGTTGACAGATGAGACACTAATGCATTCAGAGGAAAATATTATTTGCTCATTAAAATTCAGTTTCTGAATTGCCAATTTACACTAACTGTTTACAGCCTGTTGACCTGCGGGCTATAATGCGGTAGCACTGATGAAGATGTGGATAGGGAACAATTTGGCTACTGGAAAGTAATTTTTTTCCAGTCTCTTCATACCAAATAGAAAATTAAGGTAAATGGGAAGATGTTATTCACAAGCCTGTGTGGATGTTTCTATAAACGTATTCTTTAGAACCATGGGTTAGAGGAACTACCAAAAAAAAAAAAAAATTGACGAGACTATAAATTCCCTAAGTCATCAACACTTAGAGAACTCATTCTGTTTTGAAAAATCACACAATTTAGCACTTAGAAAAATTTTGCATTTGAAAATTTCAGGATCTTTTACCCTTCTAAAAAGTTTTCATAGGATCAATAATCAACATTTTTGCAATTTTTCTTATTTCATTGTTTTTGAATAATGGTGGGCAGGGATGCTTGGTGAATACAATTTGCATGCATCTTAAACAACAGTGATAGAAGAAAATTCTACATCTATTTTTGTTTTCTTATTTATTTGACAACTGTTGAATGTATGCTGTACTTGAGAATGCCATGTCCTGAAGAGATTGAGGCTACTGAGATTTCCAAAGGAAGTTTCCCAGATAAATTGAATCTGTCTTGAAAGAGAATTCAGAGTGAAGAGTAAGACTTCTTAAGCCCATTATAAAATTATGAGTCCCTTTCATGAGCTCATATTTAGAATGGGGAAGAGGACCTGTTCTTCCACTGAGGGAGTATATTTTAGAATTTGAACTCCAAACATTCTTGCTTCTTTGTCAAGGAAAAGTATAACAAAGATGAACAGGTTTTTAAAAGCAGTGCCAATTTCATCTATGCAAAACATAAAAACTGCACAAAAAATAACATATCCTTGTTGTTTTCAGAAAGTCACAGTCGGGTTCTGTGCTTTCTCTGGATGTTTGCTGCTTAAATTATTCCTATGAGGAAGAGTGGAAAAGAACATTCGCCTGAACCTCAGCTCTGCTGCGATTTGAGCATGGACCCACACGGGGGCAGACTTGCCATGGCGAGAGAGAGGCCCCTCTCCTCTCCACAGGCACCCTGACGCCTTAACATCTGTCTCAATCACCAGCATCAAAACGTGGATGGTTCTTGTACATTATGTTCACCAGGAGCTATAGAAATAGAAATTCCCTGCATCTCAGACAACATGGATGGGGATGAACACATATAGCATAATTTTTTTTTCTTTTTTGGTATACCAACTTGCGTTGCCAGAAGGGATCTCTTTTTTAAATCCCCTTTATTTTCTGTGAACAAGGATCACTGAGGTAAAATGACTCTCTCATGGTTTCTCAGGAGGGAACTGCAGAGGGAGGGTACATGCTCTGGTTCCCTCTCATCATACACAAATCTGAGTACTGCACATTAGGGCTGAGCCAAAGGCAGGAGAAACTGGGTTCCCAATGCTACACTGGCTATCATTTATATGTATATATAAAACACAGAAGACTTTATCTTTGAGAGCATCTATATGTCTGACCTCTGAATGATAAGTCACAAGTAAACACATGGATGTTAAGTTTTAAACCTGAAACAACTCACAGGTGGTCCAGGTGGTCCAGGCTTCCCAGGGGGTCCCTCACTGCCCTGCAAGGGATACACAGATGAAAATCAACAGCTTAGACATTCTTACCCCAGTTTATAAACCAGACTGCTTTCTCAGAGAGCCATCATCTGAAATCAATAGGATTTGTCACTTTGTTTCAGCTTTACAGCTTACTCAGTTTGGTTTCTCCTTAAACCAGGAAAAACTCATTCTTACACCACACCCAGCCAGATACTCACTATGAAACCAGACAAACCATCTGATCCTGCCCTTTGGCTTCCAGGGAAGCTGGGAGAAATCTCTCCTCCCTTGTGCACAGGAGCACAGCAAGGTTCCTATAGCTCTGAGATTGTGGCTCGCTGGATTAGCCCTCATTTTGAGCCTTACCTCTACCACCTGCATCTTTTGGAAGCCAGAGGCACCATCTACATAATTTATACAAATTAGAAAATCATAACCCTTGTTATGCCTGCAGGAAAAGGAACTTCTTCCATTTCCTAGGTTCATATCAAACTTTATAACCAAGTCAGATGTGTCTTACTGAACAGAAGTGATGGTGGTTTAACACTGTTTAAGGGAAATGGTCCATACAATTTGAACAGACTCAAGAGAAGTCTAACTGAAAATGATATTTGAAAAAACCGGATTCAAGTTGAAACTTGGATTTCACTTTTGATAAAACGGAGTACTTATTGGTCCATAGTAAGCAGTTATTGTCTCTTTGGTCTTTAACCAATTGTTCCTATAACTGCACATTGGTTTTAGAATAGTGGCCTCATAAAATCTTTTAAATCCTTCTATTTCAAGGGGAATGGCAAGAAATAATTAAAAATGAAACCAGAGCATAAAATAGAAAGCCCAGGAATTTGAGAGATTTTAGTTCATTTTCAAAATTTGATTTCTTTACCCATTTTCTAATGTCAAAAGAATCACAAAATTTGTATGCTTATCAATAAAAGTTTTTGTATCTGCCTGAGAATGTGTGAAAAAGAACAAGCGTATCTTTTCCCAAACTGCTTTGATGGTGGCTCTTTCCCTAAGATATGTCACATTCGGCTGACTGCTGACTGTGTTCTTTGGAGAATTACGTCATAGTTCTCACAGGTCAACAAGGAAAAATATGTGCCTATTGAAAAGGCTTTTCCCTGTCGGACACAATCAAAAGTCATAGTTTCATTCATTCTTGTGCCCCTAAGCCCATCTCAGAGTGGAATTCCCATTAACTTCAAAGGCAAGTCTATGACTGAATAATTTCCATAGAGAACAGAGAAAAAAGGCTGATGGCATTGGGCAAGCTGCTCGTGATATTACAGAAAAAAAAGTGCTGAGACTAGGATAAGCACATTGTTCCCTTTCACTGGAATTCTTTTGCTCCTTGATGCCATTATATTTCATTTTGCTTAGGGATCTAAGTAGGTAGAAGACACTTATTTCCCCAGTCTGAATAGGTAGCATTATTTCACTCATTTGCTGATCTAGACCAACACTGTAGGGCCAATTTAGATCCTAAACGAGGTAAACCTGAGAAGTCTTCCTGTGTGGGATGCCTCTATTGCTAGTCTTCCCTTCTGACCACAGCAACACATTTGCCCAATTACTGGACTTTCCAGGAAAGTTCCTTAGTGAGCTTCTCCTGTGACTCTCTAGAAACATAACTTCCAGACTCTCTCATCAAGGCCTTTGGTTTTTGGAATTTTTGTACTGATTGCCATCCAGGTGTCTGGAGTCTTGGTCCTGATAGAGCCTGAATGTTTGTGTGCCCCCAAAACTTATAGAATGAATCTTCAGGGTAATGTATTAGGAGGTGGAGACTCTGGGGGTAATAAGGTTACAAGCATGGAACCCTCCTTGAATAGGATTCATAACTTTCTGAAAGAAGCCCAAGAGAACTCGGTTACTCTTGAACTATGTGAGGACACAGCTGGAAGGTGCCATCCATATAAGAAAACAAATCCTAGTAGCCACAAGATCTGCCAGTACCTTGGTTTCAGTTTTCAGCTTCTGAAACTGAGAAATAGATGTTGTTTATGAACTACCCAATTTATAGTATTTTGTTATAGAAACCTGGATCAACTGTTACTGGAACTCCCCCGTACAAACAACCTCATCTATTCCCTGGGTCTCTGTATCTAGCTTGGACTTTTCCAAATGGCACCCATGCTCTATTTATCTTTTCTCCTCGGAACTCCTCTCTTGTGTTCAGACCACTTTTTAGACTGATGTCCTTCCAAGTCCATTATAAGAATAGCCACTCCCCTTCATCAATTCGTCTCTGGATTTTATGGATCTCTCAATAAACTGTCTCATCTTGCCCTAATACCACTTTTAATGGTAAGTAAGGCTTTTCCTCCATACCTTGTCACCCTTTGCTCCCATGGGACCAGGATGTCCAGTTCTTCCCACTAAGCCCTGTAAAACAGAAAACTAAGTTTGTTAGAGAAACAACTAAATGGCCAAAAGGTATTGGAAGTTGATTGCTAAAACTTACACATTTTGAAGGTCATTTGATCCTAATTAAATCAGTTCTACAAGCTTATATTTCTTCAGGCTGATAGAGCAGCTGTATCCCACTGATAAGCCCTTGGAAGGGTAAAATTTGTATTTGTGGTCGCTTTTTCACCTTGGCCAACCACATTTAATGACCTTAATTGGAACCTTTTGATACATTTAAGAATCTAGTCTTGCTGTTTAAATGGCAATTTACATAACATTATGCCTTTCTAAATGAGCGATCAACATTTTAAATACTCCAAGACAGGGCAGAATTAACAACGTGCATATAGAGTTATGTGATCTGCATTTTACCAGTGAAAAAGTAAAATTTTATTTTAATTGGGAATAGAATGAGCTATAATTTTCATGGTTTCTCTCATAACTCTTTTTCATAACTTTTTATTTCACTACAACTTAAAGTCAGGTTTGTTCTACGTACTTTGGTGAAGGCAAAATGATTGAATTATGGCAAACCTGTGATTCAAAACATTAAGTTAGTGAATATGATGACATTCCTAGTTTTGTGGTCAAGATTCTAACTGTAAAGGAACTCTAAGAAAGGAAGAGAGAGAAGTTGAGACATGAACTGGGTAGTTAGATTTAACAAATTAAAATACATTATTTGTGACAAACTAAAAGTTTTATTTCTCTGAAATTCAAATGAAACTGTGTGTCCTGTCTTTAATTTGGCAACTCTAGAACTGAAAGAGAGAAGTAGAAGAGTATGAGGTTGGGTTTGGTAGGTGGGAAGAGATTCTGCTCTAAGGAAGTAGGGGCCCATAGCACAATAAACATGTTTGTGTGTTTGAGAGGCAGTGAAAATCCTGACTACCATAGAAGATTTCTAAATTCACATAGAGGTATAAAAGTAAAACTGATAAATTCTTGGCCCATATTTTCTTTTAGATGTTAATTCTCAGCTATGAAGCCCTCTGAATGTCTCTTCTCAAGGTTAGTGCCAAAAAAATAACTAAAAAATAGAATGCTCTTTTATATCACCTTTCTATTGCAAACAGAAGCTTAATCTCAGCCTGCTTTCTGGTCTGGTAGAGTTCTGATGACAATTCTCCAGGATGCTGACCAGCCTTAAGAAATACTAAATGAAAATCTGAGATATTGGATAACTCCACTTTTCTAGGCAATGACTGGACAATCTACATGCAAGCACCGAAAACAAGAAACAATGAGGAATATTAATTCATCTTGTATCATTTCAACAGGTATGAGCTATGAGTAGAAAAGTTTTTAGCAAGTACTTACAGGGGGTCCAGTAGGGCCCATAGCACCTGGAATGCCTGGAATTCCTTGAAGACCCTAAAAGAGATCATTTATACCATAAAATCTATTATAGGGAACAAAGCATTTTAGTTAACCAAATGTTTTTATTATTGAAAATTAAACAGGAACCATGGTACATATTCTGTATGAATATTAATTTTCAAAGAGTAAAGATGGTGGACTAAGATGCTAGGACATGGAATTTGTGACAGACATACTTTTACCTATTCAGTGATTCATCAAGCTTTTTTGATCTTACAAAGCTAGCCCATTAGCAGTAGCATCACCGAGAATCTCATACTATTACAGCATGGAAATACAAATTTCAGAATGGCAGAACACCATCAGAGAAATATATGATTGCACTAAAGTTTCATTCAACTAGTGGGAAAATCGAATATGTTTTATGATATATTTACTTTAGCTGGTCATTTCATTATAAGAAAAAAATATGGTTTATTGGTGAATTCAAATTTGAAATCCTTTTGTAGTTTAAGCATTAAAAACCCCTCCCCTCCTTGGGTTTATAGTTATACTAGATAGGATTTTAAATGCTGATACATTTATACATCAAAGGAGAATTTGCAACTTATATAAGTTATTATATAAGAATTGGTAACCTCTATAATAAATTAATTCTGTCCCTTCAAATGTACCAACAGAATGAATTAAGCAAATGACACAAAATCTGTACCATGAAACATTTTAAAACTATCAAAATCATGATTTAGAAAGCTATTGGATAACTTGGAAAATATTACATAGTGTAGGATATAAATTTTTAAACAATTATAAATGTATTTCCTAAAAGAAGGGGTTGACACAAATTTTTATTATCATGGCAAATAGATAAGTGTCTTATCTGGAAACTTCAGTGTTAGGCATGTTTCAGAATTTTGGATTTTCTGTCTTCTTATAAAGGTAACACAGCACACACTGAGTATTATGTGTACTTCCAGTGGTGCCTGTGGCATTGCTTTCTGCTAAAAACGAAAATATTTCTGTAGCAAATGTGATATTCTGAGAGTGGGAAAAACAGATCAGCTCCATGTGACTTCAGGTCAGAGTTCACTGCCAGATGAATTTGCTGTAGACTTTGGGAAAATTTCTGAGGTTTTCAGAGGCTTTTAGGTTTGGATAAGAAACTGCAAACCATAATATTACTGTGAGCAGTCTTTCCTGAGAAGTGGGAAGGAATACAGATAACTTTGATCTTTTTAATACTTTTGTGTATTTTCCAAATTTCCTCTAACTTGGATCACTTCTATAATCAGAAAAATATTTTAAATGTCTTTTTATTATTTCAGATGCACTTGTGATCTGTTAAGTTCTAGTCTGAAGAGTTAGGGGTGTAGCTCAGTGGTAAGCACTTGCCTCTCATGTACAATGCCCAGGGCTCCATTCCTAACACCAAAGAAAAGCTCAACTTCAAGATTGAATGTTCCACTCTATGAAGACTTGATTTCCTTTATGGTGCATTCTCTTTCCATTACCAAGACATTCTTTATTATAATATAATTCCTTTTCCTTTTATTGTTATGAAGTATTAATTTCTATATATATTATAAATTTTAGATGAAGTGAGCATGGTAAATCACTGCATGTTTATTTCTGAGCATTCTATAGCACTTCGAGATGCATCAGGTTCTTTGCATCAAGGGTTTCAAGGACCAATTTCAGCCAGGTCTGTCCATCTAATGCCAAATGAGGACATGTGTTACTTCAGGCTTATTCACATGATATAATATGAAAATATGTTGAAAATCTCCTTGAGTATGCTGGAATTCCTTATGAAATAAGTCTTGGGCAAAATCTTGTATATGCATGTGTTAAAAAATGTTGGCATATTTAGGTTCAAGATTCTACCCATCTCCTCGGCAATGCTGTATGTGTAAGGGTGGACTTACCACACATAAGTGTGGTATACTGGCTCTTTTTAACTTTATCACTTTAAAAATGACTTTATAAATTTACTAATGGAAAGGAAAATTTTCTTTTGGGAATTGCACTTCTAAATGACTCAAAATTATTTTTGCATGTTGTACTATAAATTGCTTTTTCTCAAAATAGCTACATTCCTACATTTCAATAAAATTTTATGTGTACATATACAAGATATGTATAGATCATTTTTTTGCTACTGTTAGTCTCTTAGTCTGGAGATGCTGAGTGAGATTTTAGGTAGTGTAATTTATAAGCTTGGAACTCATTAACCTTTGATGACCACATTAAACTTTAAAATAAACCTCCATTAAAAAAAAAACAAAAACATTCTCAACAATCTTTCTCTAAACAAGCTGAAATTTTATAGTAAGGGTAAAAGTTACTATGGATGCATAAAGGGCAATAAGATAATTTTAGAAGACAAGATGATTGTTGAAGAAGACAAATACATATTAAAGAGTAAAACAGTCAATTTAGCATATAGTGCCAAACTTAAATACAAATTAAAATTTATTGCATAGATATTCAGGGATCATTAGAGCCAAGTTATTTCTCTGCTCTGATGTTTTGATTTTGCAAGGCCTAGCTAAGTGGCTACTAAGAATGTTTATTTTTCTTTTGCTTTAGTTTATGGCTGAATGGCTGACAATATTTTCCATGCCTTATTCGACAATTATTATCCTGAAATATTGTAAGAAGACTTGCATTACAAGCAAGATTTCACTTTGATGATAAGACAGGGGTCTGTGCCTATTACCATCTTATAAATTGCTATCTTGAGATATGCAATAATCTCTGTGAAAAAAAAATGTGGAGGATAACATTATTCTTCTAAGAGCAGTAAGTAAATAGCTAATTTAAAATAGGCAACTCTTTTAAGTTCCCAAACAAATTAAATTGAAGACATTAAAACTAGAAGCCCTTAAAGGGAGGGGCTGTACCACCAGATATTTTTCACTAAGGGTAGAATAGACATTTAAGATTTTGTAAGATTAGAGATTGTGTAGTTAACACAATAGAGCCTGTTGGCCAGCTAAAACTGCATATGTTCTTGGTCAAAGTTTTATTCACTTAAGTCAACAAATTGGAATTTCAGGGAGTATCTGAGTCCATGTAGAAGACAAGATTGTTTGCTTTTATTGATCTGTTGGAGACAGAAAAGATAAAAAGACTATTCCTCTCAAAGGGCCCAACTGAGTCAATAAGTTACTTCAGGTTTATTCATATTACTCATGTGAAGAACAAGGAAGAAGAATATAGTGAACTTGCTGGTATTCCCCACATAATGAGTTTGTACAAAATTTTGTGTACTCCACATCAAAGAGCCCATGGGTGAGCTTAAGAAAGCATACCAAATTAGCAGAGGAATAATAACACTGGATTTCACTTCACCAAGATAGCAGAGTACCTTACAGAATCAAAAATCAATTTCTAGTGAATTTTACTTATATATCCCCGATTTCCAATTATTTCCTCATCTTTTTGTTATTACCTTCTCAATTACCTCTAAAGCTTACTTCTTGAATCCAAGCAGTTAAAAGCTGTTGGACTATTAAAATCCATTATTATGCTTATACTTTAGTGAAACCTTCTGTGGAACTTGAGGAAGCAAAAGCTCATTAACTTTTACTTATTTTGAAAACAAAATGCCTTTAATGTTTTATTTATAGATAAAAAATTAATGTTATATTTCTCATTCTTTAATTTTTAACTTGGGGAAAAAGAAACCCAAACCAAGCCTCAAAGTTTTCTAGAAAAGAATCAATTTTAATTAAAAACAATAATACATGAGGATAATTTGTAATGTGAAATATAACTCCAACTAAAAAATAGATCTACTTTATACCATTATAATTTTCTGCACTAACATCAAGGTTAATATATGCCAGATGGCTTACTTACTTTCATTAAGAACTATTAGCATCAAAACTGTTTAAACTAACAACAATTCATCATTCTAATTGGTTTTTCTAAGAGTTAATGTGAATTATGCAGGACAAGAATGATATCCTGAGCATCACTGTGGCTTAGAGTCAGAAAATTATATCATTATCTCAAAAGCACATTTGAGTTGGATCTTTAGTCCAGGGGGAGAGCAGCTGATCTAAACTAGTCTACTCAGATCCTTTTGATAGTTTATTTTCTCCAAGATTATGGATATTGAGTAGCGACACAAGCAAACCAAGATCATTAAAGCTGAATCATGTTGCGGGAGTGTTCCAGGGAAGCTTTTTTTGAGTTTTGGAGCTTCCCTTATTCCTAGGCTGGTGCTTCTATTATTCCTTCAATCCTTTTAGCTACCCTGGTTTCCTTTTAGTAAGTTCCCTCTTCCTGTTCCCTTTGTTCTTATTGTGAGAGAGCTAGAATTGTCATCTGCCACATGAAAACCGAAAAACCATAGCTGACATATTAACTTTCTGTCCTGACTCAAAACCTGTACCACTGGTAATAAAGATGAACACATAATTGTTTTAAATGAAAGTTTTGCTATTTATAAAGACCTACTTTGTCTTTTTATTGGTTTTTGCATTAATTCTGAGCTACAGAAAAACTGATATCTTTCCTTTGTTGAGTCAAGAAAAGAGAATCAGCAGTAAGGACTCTTAGAAGACTCTTACCTCTTCACCTCTCTCCCCAGGTATACCAGGGTAGCCGCGCTCTCCTTTGCTTCCCTAGAAAGACAGTAAGTTCAGCTAGTGTATTCAATCATTTTGTTAGCTTCTGGAACAACAACAACAAAAGAACTCTTATCAGGATGCTTGAGGGATGCAATTTGGACTGGGTCAGGGAATGAAATGATTGCAACATTTGCAAAGGGCTTTTACCCCACTTTTAGCCCATATTTTAAAGTAGTGTATTTTAAAATGGGGTTTTCTTTTTTCACCCACTTGAGAGTCCCACAGAAGACAGACTTTCTTACTTTTGGTCCCTCTCTGCCTGGAATTCCTGGAGGACCCCGTGGTCCTATATCACCCTAGAGGACAGAGAAGTAAAAGAACTGAGAGAATGCACTGTGTGTGCCACAGGCTCCCTGGACACTCAGCCAGCCTTCTCACCTTCCTGGTGATGGAATCGTATTTTCCAGGCTCACCAGCACCTCCTTCATCTCCTTTGTTGCTTTTTAGCCCAGGAACATTGGCTTGGCAGTTGCCACAGAAATTCTAATGGGTATAAAGATAAGGTTACTAAGAGATTTTAAAAAGTGAGGTTGATATATAGAAGAAAGAAACTAGTTCCCTATCTCTCACCCTGCACAAAAGTCAAAGTGCATCAAAGACTTAGGAATTAGACCAGAAACTTTACAACTGCTAGAAGGAAAAATCAGGGTCAATATCCCATCATATTGGTGCAGGCACTGGCTTCCTTAACAAGACCTTTAATGCTAAAGAAATAAAACCAAGAGTCACTAAGTGGGATGCCATCAAATTAAAGAGCATCTGCACAGCAAAGGAAGTGATTTAGAGCATAAAGAGAGAGCCTACAAAATAGGGGAAAATATTTGCCAGCTACTCTGACAGAAGATAATATCCAGAATATATAAAGAACTCAAAAAAGCTTGACACTGAAAAACCAAAACCAAAAAAAAAAAAAAAAACCAAAAACAAATAAATGAACAAAAGAACTAAACAGACATTTCTCAAAATAATAAATACAAATATATGAAAAATATTCAGCATCTCTAGCAATCAGGGAAATGCAAATCTAAAAACTACACTAAGATTTCATCTCACTCCCAGTCAGAATGGTAATTATCAAGAATACAAATAACAATAAATGCTGGTGAAGATGTGGGGGAAAGGTTACAGTGATGCATTTTAGTGGGACTGCAAATTAGTACAACCATTCTGGAAATCAATATGGAGATTACCAAAAAAAAAAAAAAAAAAAAAAAAAAAAAACAAGGAATGGAACCACCATATAATCCAGCTATTCCACTCTTTGGTATTTATCAAAAAACAAAAAAGCTAAAAGCTAAAATTAGCACACTATAGAGATATAGTCACAACAATGCTTATAGCAGCACAATTTATAATAGCCAAAATTATGGAACTAGCCCACATGCCTGTCAATAGATGAATGGATTAATAAAATTTGGTACATATATATGGCATTTGCCAATAAATGGATGGAAATGGAGAATGCCATGCTAAGTGAAATAAATCAGACTCAGACAATCAAGAGTCAAATATTTTATTTCATACATGGAAGCTAGAGCAAAATAAGGGAAAAGAAGGTGTGTGAGAATCAGATATCAAAGAGATAGGGAAGATCAGTAGAGGGAGGAGATAGGGAGTGATAAGAGGTGGGAAAGGGGAGAAAATGTGGAATTAAGTTAACAAAAATCATGCTATGCGCACATATACATATACCACGGTGAATTTCACCTTTATGTATATGTGGAAAGTACCAATCAAAATTAAATGAGCAACAGGAAGATCAGTAGAGTAGAGGGAGGAGAATGTGGGGAGAAAGGAAGGCAGGGAAAGAGGGGGAACAGGGATGCAAATGGAGTACATCAAATTTCAGGTATGTATGGTTTTGTTAAAATGAACCCAACTATTTTGTATAATTATAATGCTTTAATAACAAAATAAATTGAGTCTGAAGGATAAATGGGTCTGCTAGAAAACCTGACAGAAAGTAGCAGACCAATTAGTACTTGTTGAAGGAATAAAGAAATATTTTATGCAGTCAGGGGTTTTCAATTTTAAAAAGTGAGGTTGATTGAATTTGAAGTTATAGTTGTACTTCTGTCAGAAATAAGTGATGTAACAATTGCAAGGTCACTCTGTTTTCAGAAACTTATTTATCCAACTTGGAAAGACTGTCTTTGCAGGGAAAAAAATTCAAAGCTTATTAGTAATATCTGTGATATTGGTGAGGGCTTATTTAAAAAATATCACTCTTGATAATATTTAAATGGAAAGTTCCAGATAAATAAGGAAAGGATCCATAAGTCAAGAACAAAGATTTGAGTTTCAACTGCTGAGCAACATGTTTAAAGAGGGAGGTGGTATTAAAGTTTGGAATAAACAACAAGATTACAGGGAACATACAACCAATGACTTAAGTCATTAAAAGGCAAAGAAAAAGCTGGGAAGAAAGGATTTCTCCGTTGGTAGACAAATTAGTAATTCCACAGGGCTTACTAGCATTTTATTTGTCAGTGGAGGCACTCATGTGAATAAGTCACTTGAGTGACCTGGACTTGACTCCAATGTCAAATCCAAGAAAAGACAGAAAATCTAAGTGGAATTACCTTTCTGTTGCCTTCTTTATAACCTTTAGCTGGTCTGAAAAAGCTTGCATTTATGTGTCTGAGCTAACAGGACAAACATAAGACTTATCACATAGCTAAAGGAAAAGGGTATGTGAAAAGCCCTATAAAGACTTATTTTTAAATAAATTGTTGGAATCAGAATATGACCATGAAAACTCTAAACCCAAATACATACACAGAACTTGAGTTTATTCATTGATTCAATTCAACAAATATTTCTGATGGTTTATAATTGTGCAAATCATTGGACTAAACCCTAGGAACATAAACTAAATCATATATACACATCTATAGCCCAAGTGTTTGTGTGTGTATACATATGCACACTGTCTATTCATCCATACAGCAATAAGGGATGAGCATAAAGGACAAGATTTTCATCTAGAGTCACTCAGAGCATCATGAAGAAATGATAATATAACCTTATTCATTTATCAGCCCTCCAATCTGTTTTACAGATAAAATATAGGAAAGTATTAGGGAAAAAAATTGTAGCAAGATTGATTCTTTATGAGCTAGATAATCGGTAGAGGTTATTTTTATTTAACAGGATGACAGGTGTTAGGACAATGGTTGGCTTTGGAATTTTATAGCTCATTTTGTAAAATCTCATGACATAAAAAATTCAGCCTTGTAAGCTAACTGTTTATTGAGCAGTGCTGGTTTTCATCCTGGGACTGACCAGGGTGATACAATGAGAGGGATTAAATTTTATAGTAGTGAGCCAGGGTGGGTAAATGCCCATCAAAGGAAAGCTGTTGTTCCAGAGGAGAGTGTGATCTCTTCAAGAGGGTTAATGACATTGTTCCTTCCCTTTGGTTTGTCTGAGAGCTGCACACTCCATTTCCATACCCAAAAGGCTGATAAAGAAGAGAATGGGGGAATACAGATTATTTTTACTATTTTAAAGATGTTCTCCATTTTAAAAATGCCATTTAAAAACCAGGCCAAACAATTAACTCAATTTCTAGTAAAGATTTTCTTTTTAATTTTTTTCTTGGATATTAAACCATAATTTCTTACATAACAACAGAATACCTTGAACAAGGCCCCGATGTCTCCCAAGAGAGGAAGGGCAATCTGTGGTTAAAGAGGAAAAAAAAATGTTATTAAACTGTTATGAGTTGGATCTTGATGTGTCTCCCAAAGGTCAGCTGATGGCACTATTGGGAGCTGGTGGTACTTTTCAAAGGTGGGACTGGTGGAAGGAAGTGAGGTCACTAAAGTTGTGCCTTTGAAGGGTATACTGGGAATTTAGCTCCTCCTCCTCCTCCTCTCTCTCTCTGCTTCCTGGCCACCTGCAGGTGAACAGCGCCCCCCATCACCTACTCTCCTCCATGATGTTCTGCTTTGCCACAGGTCCAAAGTAATGGGCCAAATGTATATGGATTGAAACTTCTGAAACCATGAGTCCAAATAAATCTTTCCTTCTTCTCTTCAGTTGTTTATCAGGTATTTTGTCACAGTGATGCAAAGCTGACTAACACATACACATGTACATAAGCACAATACAAAGCAAGAGTATAACACAATATAGATTTATTGTTTTCAAAATGCAATGTCAGTTGAGATTTGGAGCATGGGGCTTCTAAGGTCTTACTGTCAGGATAATTGGTTCAACATTATGCTTCATGTCAAGTAACTGACACTGACAGAATGCAGAACTATTTTGAGAAATATTCACTATTCTTCTGCCATGAACATGTAAACTCATAATTGTTTTGATTCTACATCTCTACATTTTCACGACATGGCAACCTTTATTATTGGTTTTAATACTATATAAAGATAAATCATTTATTACAAGGAAATCATTCCTCTGCCAAGCACATTATCAGGCTGTTAGAAACATGAACAGTACAGGATAAGTTTGCCTTGTTCTCACGGAGGTTCAAAAGAGCCTTCAGTAGGTGGAAGTGATGGACAAGACAATCACAAAGGAAACTTGGGCTATGTTTTGACCAGATGTCTTAAAATGTGCTTTCTAAGAGACACTCTATAAAACCAGGTAACGCCACAAGATTCCCAGATGAGCCACACATATTCATTTGATTGTGGAGTTAAAGTAAGGTCATGCTTGCTTCTGCATGCGTATTACAAAGGAATCTAAAGCCCAAACAGTGTGGGAGGTAGAAAGGATTTGTGAGGCTTAGAAATGAGAGGCCAGATTTGGATTTTGTTACACAAAATTCTTAATACAATGTCATGTACCATATGGCCTCTCAAAGTATAACCACTGGGTCTGTGGCTATTTAAAGGGTTTTCATGTCACTCAAAGCAAGGTTTAACCTAAGAAAAAACTTTAGAACACACATTTAGTGCCTAAACCCCATTTTCCAAGGGCCTACTCAAGCCAGTTTTCATAATTTAATCTATCTCAGCATTTTAAAGCCATAGAACCAGTGAATGTGTACCATAATGTAGGTAACTTACCTGCAAACTTTCATTTAGAAAAATGAAATTCATTTAGTCAACAGCATTAGAAAGAATAGAAATTGTGTCTATATGTTTTATTTCAATTTTCCATGGAACTGAGATATTATACGCTAAGGCTCAGCCTGGGGCAAAACTGTATAGCTGAATTACACCCTTAGGAAATAAGCATTCATCACACACACACAAATGCTGACCCAGCTTGAATTTTTTTCCCTCTACAAAATAATGGGGATAAACAAAATCACCAAGCAGTCACTGAACATTCTAATTAGTTTGGACAGCAAAATTTGCTTGGTAGGCTGTTTGGCTTCTGGGTGCATTAATGATACATAAATCAGGAAAGTCTGTGTACATACCGGGTCACCCGGGGGACCTGGCAGTCCTGGCTTTCCATCCCTTCCGGGAGCTCCCTGAAAATAGAGGCATCATGTTCAAATCTTTGCAAGTTGGGATAGTTGCAGATTAAAACAGGGGTTGGGGAAAGGATAGGTAAAGAAGGTCCTTACATCATTTCCTGGGGTCCCTGGAGTTCCTGGTAACCCAGGGAGACCTCGAGGACCCTGGAAAGGGAAGAAAATGAAAGTAGTTATTTAGGAGAACAGTCTTTCAGTAATTTCCCCAAGAAAACAAGTTAGATTTGTTGTGCTGGATAACTTAGTTAAGTAGCATACCTGAATACCTGGCTCTCCAGTTGGTCCTTGGGAGCCCTGAGTAAAATGAGATAAAATGATCAAAATTCTACAGGAATTCCCATGAATTATCCAGCTGAGACAAAAGACTAAGTACTGTAATTTGCTTAGTGGAACAACAGCATTTGCCACCAAGAACACTCTGGTAACTGCTAGCTACAACTTTGGGTGGTAGATAAACACCTTACCAAAAACCTGTTGCTCAGATCCCTGGAATGTCTCTCATTCCATCCCATATGGCTGCACACTCAAGAGTACAGAAGCAACATATCCAAATTCCACCTGACCAGAAACCTTTTGTTCCCTTTCTGCTCACAGGGATAACTGGCCAGGGATACCTTTCTCTCTCATTCTACTTTGAGTCTTTTCTCTTTGAAGAAATGACCAGAACTAGTATTTGGTGACAGGAGTAAGAAGTAAAGCCTCAGGTATTGTTTTCTACTTTTAGAAAACTGGAATTTGGAGTAACTACAATGAGGCCGAGATGATCAGAGAACATATGATACTAGTTTTATCCCTATTAAATATCCACGGACCACTGAACTAAGAATTTACAACCAAAGCCAAGCAAAGCACTAGTTTCTTAGCAGTTGATTTCAGTAACTGTTCACTGATCTTTCTTATATTTTAAAATATATATTAATATCACTGTTATTATTAAAGCCTTTTGTTCCCTTTCTGTCTATACTGTGTCCTTAGTGATTTTTTCTTTAAACGCAATACCTCCTTAATAAGTTCATGATTTTTGTACACACATAGGAGTACACATATGGATGTATCTGGGTGTATGTGTATGCATGTTTTGTTGTTTTTGCTTTTTTTTTTTATCTAAATAGGCTTTTACATTTTGTCGTTATGGTTTGAACGTCTCCTCCAAGGTTCATATGTTGGAAACTTAATCCCCAAATTCAATTAATGTTTGGAAGTGGGGCTTTGGGAGGCAATTAGGATTAGATAAAGTTATGAGTGGAGCCTCCATAATGATATTAATAGTTTTATAAAAAGAAGGTGAAAGACCCAAGCTAGACAGCTCAACTATATTACAATGCAACAAGAAGGTCTCACCAGATGCTAGACTTCCCAGCCTCCAGAACCACAAGCTAAATAAACCTTTATTCTTTACATATTACCCAGTCTCTGATATTCTATTATAGCAACAGAAAATGGACTAAAACATTTCCCTAGAAAATCAAACACTAATGATATACAATATAACCTATCACTATCTATGCTTTATTTTATTTTTTATCACAATGTCAATGTAAGGCTGTGATATTGTGATATAATAAAAATATGTATTTGGTCTCTGCCCTTGGTTTCTGACACAGAGTGTCACAAACCCTTGCAATATCTTTAGCAATATTGTTAAAGCATTTAATCTTTGAATCTGATTTCTGTCAGAGAACTCTTAATATCTTGGAATTTCCTGACAATAGGAATGTATTTTGTTCTATTGAGGTAACTCTTTATATATACTCCATCACTTTAAACATTAACTTTTTATTAAAAATAAATAGTAATATTTAATAACACAATATGGGGTATTCATATCATCTTATGGACATACATTTGTATTATCTAGTATATAACTATAAGTATAAAGGATTAAATGATTGCTAATCCAAAATCAGTGGATCTATAATCAGTACGAAGAAGTCAATCAGCAGTGAACATTCTGTGTACACTAAATGATGGACCTTCAAAGCCCATCGGTCTTCTCTGGATAGTGATCATTTGTATTTCCTCCTCTGATCTTTGTTTTCTTTTCTCCTTACTGAGACTTGACATTGAATTTTGTTTCATAATAATGAATTCAACAGAGTATCAAGAGCCCAGCTGAATTTTACTTACTGTTTTGCCGGGAATTCCGGCTCCTGGTGGACCCATGTCACCTGGGGAGCCCTGGACACCTGGCAGTCCTCTTTCACCCTGTGAAATGGGGTGCTTCTGTTAAGACAAGGCTCAAGAGACATGGCTTTTTTGATCTTATTTTGCTCATTATTGATTTTTTAAAATTATCTATAATATTTTAATACCTTTGGCCCACGTGGACCAGGTGCTCCAGGATTTCCATCTAATCCCTAAAAAAAAAAAAAAATAAAAAAAATAAAGAGGAAATACATTTATTTTTCTAAAAATGTTTTAAAAAATCTTAGAAAAATAGTTTTAATTGCTGTTCACTTTACTTGAATGAATCTTGTTTTGTAAGAATAAGGAATTAGAAACAAATTTCAATAGGTTATAGATTTTGTATAGTTACTTTAAAATATGAGGCTCTTATGTATAAACTGTCTCATATTGAAACTTATTATTATCCTCATTCTTGACTAACATAAAGGGTTCAAAGTGATGCAGAAAAAAAGGCATATGAAACTGGATCACCAGTTTATGTCCTGGGAAAAGTCTGGATCACAGAGACATTTTCTGCAAATGACAACCTATGGTGACATCTGTAAATCCTCCAGAGGGAAGTATCAGACAGTTCAGTTTTAAGAGAGTGTCCAAAAAGGCTTATGCTTTAAAAGCAGTGTACTTTACTTGGATCCATAGGTCCCTACAGAATCCATGCAGAGGATTCAGGGGGTATATGAATCTTCCACATCAAAACATTGTGTGCATGTATATTTCTTCAGAAGAGAGGCTTTGCTTGCATTGAAGCTTTAAAAAGGTTACAGCTGTGATCTAAAGTTGTTTCTTCTTTGGTACACTTAAACTTATACTTGTGCTCTCAAACTGGGAGCCCACATGTAGTCATTAATGAACTTCCAAGGGAAACATTAGAAAAAGAGCTGGTACTTACTGGTTCCCCTGGCAGGCTTTTCCCTGGAGGACCGGCCTCACCTTTCGGACCTGGAAGCCCAGGAGGGCCTATAATCCCACCTGGATCTCCCTGAGGAAAACAAGATGAGATTCTTACTTTGTTGCTCAGGTTTGTGATGGGAACTGGGGAAGCAGTAGTTTTTACTGTTTTAAATTGTCATCATAACCAGGCAAACTTCATTCACTTATCTATTCACTCCCTCAATAATATTTACTAAGTGCCTAACTCATACTAAGCACTATCCTACTTATGTCAAATACATTGAGATTTTGTAATGAGTTATGGTGCAATAAGTTTATCAGTATCATGCAACATAGATGTGTATAAATGTAGGCACAAAAGGGTGTGTCTATTCATAAGGTTCTTTGGATGATCTTTGTTCTATTTCCTAATAATGACTCCACATAAACATGTTATTTCCATGTAGCATTAATATGCTGTTTCCATGGAATTCCTGAATGATGAAGAGACTTCTTAGGTCTATACCAGAATTGGCAGTTAAGCCTGACACGAGTCTGACTCCTGGCATCTTCATCTCTAAGTTGCTTCATTTTTTCACATGGCATTTCTATGCAAGAATCAGGGCAATGGCTATGCATGTCCCAGGAGAGCCATTCACATTGTCTTCTAATGCAAGGCTATTCCAGGTATAGTTCCATGAGCCTGTGCTGTCCTCTCACCTCCCCAGTGCCCTTAAGATCCTTGGTCTGTTCCTCCTACTTACCTTTTTAATAGAGTGAATAAAATGTGAGCTATACCTTTTCTCCTTTGATGCCTTGTTTTCCTGGGATACCATGTTCTCCTGGCAATCCCTAAAAAATTCAAAATTAAAGGGAAAGAACAATGAGAACATCTCTTATGATAACATTTATGTATGCAAATATTTTTCAAGAGAGCAGTTTTAACACATTATCTACAAGGGAATGGTTGATTTTGGCTTGTTAGGTTAAAAACATTAGTTGAAAATATGTAAATTGTTGTTTCAAGTGAATGTCCCTGGATGTAATAGGTAAGAACCAACAACAAAGGAGAATTGAAATATCTCAGCCATACTATTGCCAAGAAGGGGGAGAAGGATGGTGGTTGGTAGCCTCACACCATGATTCAACCAGACAAATGGGTGACTAAGAAAATAAATTTTTATTGTGTTTTAGCAACAGTGGATCTTTTCCTTTTGATTTTATTCTCTTTTCAGCTCCTGCTACTATCATTTAATCTCACTTGAGCATATTGTGGCCCAGCATTTTCTCTCTTTTCTTTCCACAAGGTACCTTTGTAGTGGTCCATTAATTGGTGGTAGGGGTAGGGGGTAGCAATAAAAAGCTTTGCTCTGTGAATTTAGATGTATAAAGTTCAAGCTACAATAGGAATGTTGATCAATAGGCCCCCAAAGGCTCAGGCAGTGAGCATGGTGAACAGAGAAAGGGGTCATGGGCTGCTCCCAAGATGATGGAAAAAGGAGAGATTCTTCATGTTGCCTAGAGATAACTAATAGTGGTCAGTTAGTGACAGAGGAGTTGTGAGCAAGATGTTTTTCCTTCTGTTTAAGTGTGGATCTTTCTAATTTTTAAGGAAAGGTATAGCTCTCAGCTCCCAAGTTGTCAGAAGGCCATGAAGCTTGTTTAAGGGCCAGAAAGCTAATCTGGGGGAAGCAATGGAAAAATGACTTTAAACAGCATGAAGGTAGGTGAGAGAGAGAGACAGAAAGAGAGAGAGAGAGAGAGAGAGAGAGAGAGAGAGAGAGAGAGAGAGAGAGACTGACTCATTCCACTATACTAAGGTTATAAGGCAGCCTGAAGTTTTCCTCCAAGTGCATTACAGATACACTTTCAGCCAAAAGATTTCCCTTTTTTTGAGGGCTCTTGCTAGAAAACAACAGAAGCTTTCTAAGTGTTTTTTGCAGATGGAGATTTGAATCAAAAGCCATACATAAGGGAAATTCTTGCTTTCTCTCTTGGTTTTCCTTATTACTTTTGATATTTGCTGTCTCATTGACCACAGGTACACTCCTGACAAGCATGTCCCAAATGATAATTTAGTTAAATTGAGTTTCAAAGACCAATTTGTTAGGGTAATGATCCTCCAAAGGACCTCACATGAGTGTATGAATGGCCCAGCCTTCAGAGGTGGAGATGAACCAGGTCTTTGGAAAATGTAGTGTAACTTAGTTACAGGAACAGACATTGACATTTTAAAAACCATACCATAATTTCAAAATACTGAAGTATACATACAACATCTCCTGGTGGTCCTCTGGGTCCCATGGAACCTGCAGGTCCTTGTTGACCCTAAAAGAGAAGATGATATATGCTATACCTTTCCTTAAAAATTAGAAAGATTGTACTTGAATATTTGTAAAACATGTTGTAAACTTTATCTGTAAAAAGAAAGACTTTCCATCATCCTACCATATGTGTATAATACTGAAGTGTGATTTGAGATTCTAAGATAGTTTCTAGATGTTTTCTTTTTTAATGGGTTTGTTTTTCATCAGTAGGGGATAAGTGGGTAACTTGCCCTACCCATTGGCTGGGAGCACATCATGCTAATCTCTCCCACACCTCTCCAAAACTATTCTTTCTTAGGATACACCTGCAGAATCACACATGGGAAACTGAAGCACTCATAGCTGTATACTTTTGGTTTAGAAATGAATCCTGACTCCTGTTCCTTTTAAGAATACAGCTCAGGGTCATGGATTTAGCTGACATTGTTTACTCTTAAAGCTTTTAGGGATGCTATGGTGAATATGCTCTGAAAAATAATTTTCAAATTCTACTGTGAACCAAAAGGCACAGTTACTATGTGTGTAATAAATGCAGCTAGTGGGGGTGGGGTGGGAAATCACCATGGAAACAAGATCAAGTCTCTGAGAACATCTGTGAAGAAAATGAGTGGCACCCCAAAGCACCCTTTAAAATATAGAATGGCTACAAATTCCAGATTATTTCCTAATATAGCACAGTTACTTCTTATATACCTTCAGTCCTGGGTTTCCTATTGAACCAGGGGGACCAGGGTCTCCAGGTTCTCCCTAAACATGTGAGTGGGAAGCAAAGTTAAATGTTACTATAGTCTTCACCATCTTATTAAGGTTGTAGACATAATTGGAAAATTCTAGGCGATTACCTTTATTCCCTGTGATCCTATTATTCCAGGTTCTCCCTGTAAATAAAATAATCATCATATGGGTAACATGAAAATTCAGATGGGCCGGGACATCTGACAGTTTAATTGAATTTCCATTAATTAACACACAATAAAGGGGGAATTTATGGAAGATGTGATGAAACCAAGGAGGGTTCATTCTACAACAGGATCAAAACACTTAATCCTAATGAACAACAACTCTTATTTTCTTTTTTTAACAATAGTTTTATTTTCACTCCAGTGCCATCTTTGAAATCCTCCTGCATTCTCTACTTCTCATTATTATGATTTGCCACCAACTAAACTCGCCTCCCTAAAAATTAACTCTTCAGATGATATGGAGGAGATGTTAGGGTGATATGTGCTGGTGATTCTGCAATCAGGAACTATCCAGGTATTTAATTTTAAAAACAGAAAAATTACGATTATACTAAGGGGGACAATACTGGCTATAATGTTTGCTTTCTTTATTTTTCCATGACTTATTAATCTGTTGGATTTGTATCCAATTTGTATCATTAACAGAATTTTTGAAAAAAACTATCTTCTACTTTAATTTTGTAGTTTCCCTATCTTAATTTGATGTCTTTTGTAACACTTCTGTCCCATCACTAGTAGTGGAAGGTTAGAGGAAACATATCTAACCCAAACCAAATGGTAAAGTATTATCCCATGACAGCACTTAACAAGGTTTAATATAAAGTCCAAAATCACAGAAGGAAAAGTAAAAATGCTCTGGAAGCTTATTTTATCAAATCTATTAGACTCTCAAGTAAACATAACAGAAATTGGAGAGAGAAATCAATGAAGTAGTAAACCCCAGAGGGTGATAAAACATCTACTTACTTGGTCTCCCTTTTCACCTTTTACAAAGGGTTCCCCCTAGGTAGATGGGTAGAAAGCAGAATCAATTAAAAACACTTTTAGAAATAAACCCTCCAAAGCTGGGAGTGGATAGAGCCTGCAGGCCAGACTCACACCTCTACTGCACACAGTCTGCCTCTGCAGCTGAGAGGGAGCCTAGGAGAATTAATTTACAAGCTCCTCCACATTCTCAAAGGAACACCGGAGTTCATCATTCTAACACTATTTAGAGAATCCCCGGTGGCTAACAAGTTGAAATGCTGCCCAGGGACAAAGCTTTCTGGTGCCTGGTGAAGAAGAGGGATCACACACATATGCAACTGGGGACAGAAGCCTGTGACAGCAACAAGATGGCCAGGGAAGGACATTCCTGAGAATGCTTCCAACTCGTTAGCTGTGCTTGAAATACACAAAATCATTAAAAATACTTTTCCAGTTTTCATTTTTACTATAATGAAAATAACTCAAAGGGGTTAATTAAGAGGTAAATAATAGGGTGTGGAACTGATAACAGTTCTTGGTTAAAGTATGTAGAGCTTGGGGAGTGACAGAAGCTTTGGAGGCTGCCCCTTGTTAACCAACACTCTCCCCCAGTCACTGAGTTGTGATTACTGCCACCCAGGTTAACCCATAGAGACACACGTGCACACACAGGCTCCCCTACTAGTTTCTGTTCTCAGAGTTACAAGTATGTGATCTCATTTTATCTTCATAGCTATGCTGTGCAAAAGAATTATTGTCCCATTTCAAGGATGGGGAAAGAGACTTGCGAAGGTCCAGTAATTTTGAGTTGTCATAGCTCCCTCTATTCCCTACATTAGCATTCATTCATTTTACTTAATGTTTCCTAGTTTATCTTGGCTATACCTCTTTGAGTGTAGAGATACAATTCATCTTGATACTCATAGCACCTCTGGTGTCTCACATCTTAGACCTTTACATTACCGGGATCCAAACACATTTATTAAATAAGTGAACTTAATGCAGATATAACAATAGTAACTAACATTTATTGAGTTCTTATAATGTATCAAGCACTATTGTAATCACTTTATATATATTCACATAGTTAATCCTCAGATGTTTCACTCAGGTAAGTGCTATTAGTAGACTCATTTACAGATGAAGAAACACTGGCACAGAGAAGTTAAATAATTTCTCCAAGGTCACAGAGCTACCAAAAGATGGTTCAGGATTTAAACTCAGTCAGCCACACTTCAGCTCCAATCTTCACTTGTTTAGTCTGCGTCATATTATTTGAATTGAGTAAATTACTATGTTGGTTTGGATTTTGGATGTTTTCCAAAGGCTCATGTGTTAAAGATTTGGTCCCCATTGCAGCAATGGTCAGAGGCAGGGCTGGAAAGTGATTGGATCATGAGAGTTCTAACCTCATCAAGGGATCAATCCATTGATGGGTGCCTAGCTGAATAGACAACTGGGAAGTGGTGGAAACTGCAGGAGGTGGAACTCTGATGAAGAGAGGGTCTTTGGGGGTGTGCCTTTGGAGAAAAATGTAAGAGCCATTTTGGGAGATATTACTACTCTCAAAAGTTCTCTTAGGAGCAAGATGTGGTGGCACATGCCCATAATCCCAGCCCCTCAGGAAGCTAAGGCAGAAAGCTTACAAGTCTAAGGCCAACTTGGGCAATTTGGCATGACCCTGTCCCAAAGTTAAAAAAAAAAAAAAGCTGGTGGTGGTAGGGTGGCTATCTAGGTGCTTAGAGGTAGAGTGCCTGTGGGTTCAACTTGGATTCAATCCCCAGTGCTCAGGGATTGCTATTTTGATTTTTAACTAATCACTCTTTGGAGATAAGCAAGTACTAAATGAGCCTTTCATCTTGTGTCCTGTGTGTTTGGGGCTAAGATTTCATCTTCTCCCATGTTCCCCAGCTCCCTTGCAGTTTCATGAAGCCATGTAGCTAATTCTAGCAACGAAATGTAACCAAAATGACATGTATCATTAACAAGACAGTGAGAACCCATTTAATAACCCTCCAGACACACTTCCCCAGCAATGGTGACTAAGAAGATTGTATGTGACAGAAGACAGAGCTATATGATGGTATAGCCTGGTAACTGAACACAGAGTGAAACATAACATCTACCCCTCCTACTGAACCATTTTAGGCAGGAGCAATAGAGAACTTTCCTTGCGCTAAAGCCACAGAAATTTCAGGATTAATTTGTTACTTAGCATAACCAAGACTCCACTGACTAATAAACCACACATCTACCTAACATAATGAAATCTTCTATTATTGGTTAATTTCTATACATTCACAGGGCTTTATTTATATTCTTGCTTTTTGGATTTCATTCTAAAAATCAAGTTAATTTTTAAAGATCTGACATAAAGTTAATTAGATATGATCAAGGAGTCACACTGCTTATGTCAGTGCTTGTTTATGCTCACGTCCTTGCTTGTTTAGAGTCACTGTCAAGCTCAAAATCCACATTGATAAAATAGCTTTTGAAAGGAAAAAACCCAATAAATTGGTTATGTGGAGACTTGATATTTAGTAGTCCTAGCTCCAACTACTACTATCCAGAGCAAATCACTTAAATGTTTAGAATCTCCCTTTTTCTATAAAATCATGGGTTTCAACTAGATGATCTCTTTTGCATATTTTAGCTCCAATATGTTGCACTTCTAGTCACTTTCTGAATGTCCAGTAGGGAGGGACAAATTGCCATTGACAGTTGCCATTCCAGATGAGTGGTTCAGAATTCAACTTTGGATGATGACTACTGTTCTGATTGAACCTTCTGGTTATTATGCAAAGTCAAGTCCAGCTCTAATTCTGGAATAGAAAGATTGATACCACAAAGAACTAAACTGCTCTGCAGAATAATGTAAAATTTGTGGTATTTTATGTGTGGGCAAGAGAGGAAAGCCAACAAGATAAATAGAGGTGGCAGATGCCTAAGGCATTAAGAGGGAAGTGGCAAGGAGAAGAGTTAGAAGGAAAAGAGGCCTCTTCCTGGATAAGTAGACTAAAGCAGTCCCAGTGGGGCAGGGGCTTGCCTTGAACACTAGTGATGGGACAGGAAGCTAGAGGGAATCCCCAAAGAGGGAAAGGCCTATCACCCCAGAAACCATGAAATTCTCCAACACTTGCTTCTCAAAGTGGGTCCTTGAACCAAAAGCACCACCATCATCTAGGAAATTGTGAGAGATGTAGGCTCTTGGGCTTCACCCCAGACCCATTAAATTAGAACAGCAGGATTCAATCACATATTCCTGTGTGAGAAGCACTGCTTTAACTCACTGAAAATTTCTCTATTATGCTCTATAATTCTCTGCTTTTCCAATGGAATTTTAGTCAATCTTACTGCCAGGTCCTCCTTGATACACACAGGAATTAAGAGAAAGTGAAGTATTTAGGCCTGAAGGAGAGAGAATGGTGACCTGGAGAAGCAGGTAGGAGAACCTTTAAGTGTGGAGTATCAGGAGAGAGTTAGCTGGCAGAGGGAAGGGGTGGCGTCCACCAGGCTGCACTTGTGGGAGGAATATTAAAGGCTGTCAGGTCCTGTTCTGCATTAGGGAGCCTTGGACTTGGCACTAAGGGCTAGCATGACCCCTGGGGTAGGATAACTAAGATTCATAGGTAGGTGCTGACGTAAAGTTGCCTGGGATAAGTTACCGCTATTGCTAAAGATACCTAAATGCTGAGCTGAAGCATAGGGCAAATCGACTTCCTAACATTAAATACGTTTACTACATACTGTTCCATTTTTTCATGTAGGAATTATTAGTAACCTTTTCATTTTTTATCCCATGATCAACCAATATTCCTAATTTGCTCTGTCAAGGAAATGAGTAAAAATGATTGAAAAAGATGTGTTGCATTTTTTAAAAATCAAAGATGAAGTATAGGCTAAGCCTGATTCTTGCTGATTCTTGAAGGCTCCTTTTTTTTTTAAAATATAAATACCATAAATTTTCTTTTCTTTTCTCCTCTCCCCCTCCCCCTCCCCCTCCTCATCCTGTGACTAAGTTTTCTCTAATCTGTTTAGGTGGTCCTACTTGAATATAAATGATTGTTTTACTTAGGTTTTTCACTGCTGTGACTTAAGAACCCGATCAGAACAACTATAGAGGAGGAAAAGTTTGAGTGCTCACGGTTTTCAGAGATCTCAATCCATAGACAGCAGACTCCATTCTTCAGGGCTTGAGGTGAGACTAAACATCTTGATAATCAGGAAGCAGAGAGAGACTCCACTTGCCAGATACAAATATATATCCCAAAGCCATGCCCCCAATGCCCTAACTTCTCCAGCCACACCCCACCTGCCTTCAATCACCACTCAATTAATCCCTTCAGGTGATTAATTCACTGATTGGGTTAAGGATATATATACCTGGAAATGCAGAAATGACAACCCAATCATTTCCCCTCTGAACCTTCTCTCATTGTCTCACACATGAGCTTTTGGGGGACACCTCACATCCAAACTACAACAGTGATATAATAGGTTTTGTGTTTTTGTTTTTTAATTCCCCACCGAAAGAGCTAAGTTTTAATAGAAACTGGCCACAGCAATATTGAAAAGTGGCTTGGGGAAGTTCCTTTGATCTTGCAAAAAATAACTTCAGAAGGTATACTGAGAACATTTGTTTGATCAGATAGATAAATGTTTCTAACTTTTTATATAAACTAGTATCTGTCTTTGTTATTAATTTCAGCTATCATGGTAAGTTACATCAGGGCAACTTAGTGATTTTAAACCCGAGTTTAGCTCACCTACGTGTGATTTATGGCTCCAATACTGTGACTGTGGTAAAATCGCTTAACCTCTCTGTGCCTCATTTTCCTCACCTGAAGAATGAAATAATAATAACCTATCTCATGGAATTTTTTAATGGATAAAATGAGTTAATTCATGAAAGAACTTAGTGCCTGCATAGTATATACTTACTTAAAGAGTTGATCTACTGTTGTTCACTATGGCAGGGTCAAACCAGAATATATGAAAATTGGGGCTGGTCTGGAAAAATATTTTAATTCTTTTTGTTGTTGTTGTTGTTGTTATTCTTACTTTGCCCTCCACGCTAAAATACTTACAGGTTCTCCTTTTTGTCCTTTAGGGCCAACAGACCCTGGAAATCCTGGCAGTCCTGTTTCACCCTTTGAAGGAAAAAGCAGAAGAGAGATTTTGCATGAGAGTAGAGCGGTACCCTTTGACTGTCAGAACTAGAGTGTGATCTTGCTTGCTTCCACTAACTGTAGAATTTATCTATTACAGTCCAAGGGATAAGGTGAAATGCTAAATCTGGTTAGGCTATTTGCCTGAGTGTGTTTGCAGGCACTTTATAATACCTTTAGATCATTCAGAGATCAATAACATTTCATTATGATATTTAAAATTAATGTGAAAAAATGTTAATTATTTTTTAAAGGAAGCAACATTGAGAGGAGAAAAAATTCACCTTTTTCTTGTGTATCAAAAAGTAAAATATTTTTGTGACTTAGTTATCAGGTCCTTTAAAAGACACAGTTGTCCAGACTCATTTTATTCCAGACACTTCTGTTTTTTCATAGGTGGGGGGTGGGGAATAGGGGGAGACAGGAGTCTTGAGAAGAAAACTGAGTCCCTCTGTTGTCCCCAGCATTTATCCTGCTTCTTAGATGCTTGGCTGTGGACAAAGAAGGCATTCTCATCTGTATGGTGACTGCAGCAGCTTAGAAATGTCTAGGATGTTCTGGTCAAAAATCTTGAAGAGGGATTTGTATGTGACATATAAAGAGTATTTCCAGAAAATACAATTTGAGAGATAACACTTATGGAAAGGAATTATATCACTAATCGGCCTTCAGAGAAATTTCAGCATTGTGTGCCTCCCAGAGTTTACCAAGATCTCTGAATACCACCTAATTCTTAAACATAGCTGTTACGAGATATGAAATTCTGATTTTTTTTGTACCTCAGAAGCATTTTTGTACAATGATATTCACCATTACATTTCTGCATTTCCAGGTATATGTCCTTTTTGCCATTGTTGTATTTTTGTTTTAGCTTCACACACACACACACACACACACACATACACAGAAAACATAGAGCCACACCTTCATATACTAGGCTCTTAGAATGAAAGTAATTAAAAACTTTACCATCAAAGATGAAATTCTTTGTATTTTCCTCTATATCCCAGAGGGAGCCACTTTCATGAATTTGGCATTTATCTTTCAGTCCATATGTTTGTACTTTTTACTGCATTATGTGGAATCATAAACAATGCATTATAGCCAATGTTTTTTTCTCTTGTTATATAAAACAAATTCAATCAATATATATATATATATATATATAGTGATTTGTGGCTTTTTTTCCCCAATGGTTTTTGAGTGTCCGTCTGTGTTGATACGTGTGATCTTGCTCATTCGTGGTATAATTTGCATGGCATGCTGATGCGCTGATGGCCAGCCTTATCCCAACCCCACTAATGGGCACTCAGCTTTCCTCTGTCATGACCAAGGAGGAAGTGAACATCTTCAACCTGCCCCCTTGTGTGTGGAGGTACCTCTCTCTTTTAATTTTGAAACCTTTAACAACTGCCTACTCCAAAGTACTTCAACTGCAAATTTATCACAGTTCTCAAATCTTGGACTTATTTCTATAGTTTCTATCACAATCCATCTTTTGGCATTTTGTAGAATGGATAATCATGATTGTATTTTCATTAATCAGTCTTCTAGGTTTATGAAATGTGTTTTGTAAGTTTCTATTGAAAATTTTATATCTCAGTATTAATTTTTCGTATGACCAGTCTTCCCGTCAGTATCATCAGAGCCCTGTTTGGGAAAGCCAACATACCAAATGGAAAAATAGTCAATTCATGGACCTGTTACTATGTATATTTACAGCAGGGTTTCCCAAAGTGTGGTCATCTACACACCAACTGTATAGTTCTTGCTATGTCACACACCACCTGTATAGCTATGGCTTATTTCTTCTCTAGATTTACTCACATTTTTAAATATTTAATGTGTTCTTTGAAGTTATACCCATGTAAGTTAGAATTTAGTGTGCTAGGTAGATGTTTTTGTCTTAATACAGAGAAAAATACAAAAACATTTTTCCTTCTAGTCTCTAAACACTTAGTATATCCTCAGTTTATACTTACACATTATAGAAATATTTTGTTTTAGAGACAGTAAATTGTAACCAAAGTGAGGAAAGAAGTTGGTGAATATTTTAAGGCATCCATTGTTGAGGATTGAAAGAAGAAATAAACAACTGACATGAATAGGCATTAGAATGACCTTCATGTCACCCATCAGGTAGGTGCTAAAATCCCCAGTATATAAGTGTGAAGAAAAAATGAGATTAGTAATTAGACCCACCTAATAAAATAAAAGGAGAAAGTGGGGAAATGACCTAGAAATTACTTATAAAAATCACCTCAGCTCAAAAAATCAAAGGAGGGTAGAAAAGTGTTGGCAGAAGAATAAGAGTAATTATATTCAGAGATGTTATATATTGGAACAAATATAAAATAGTGTTTCAATGAAACAGCAAGAACAGAACAGGGTGTGGTCTGTCCCCAGGCACAGCCGCTGTGTGAGGCTGGGCTTGGAGCAATCCTTAGGACATTGTCCTTCATTTAAAATTCTGCAAACAAAAGTATTTATACCCAAATCTCAGATAAACATGGGGTTGCATTTCATATTTAAAATGAATTTTCAATGATTTATTAATATGGATAGGAGTTGAAAGATAAGTGATGAATTTACTGAACATCAGCAAAGATCCTCCTTCAGTTTGATACTTTTGTGTTATTTTATTTAAAAGGCTATGAGCTGTTGAGATTCCATCTTGTCCCCCTGATAGTCTGCTCAAAAAAGAAAACAACAGAAAAAAAAAAAAAACACTGGCTATTTTCTTAGGAGTCCTTATTCTGCTACCTTTCCCACTGTTTCTAGAAAGCAGCATTTCTCCTTAAGCTATCTGCTTATACATGATCCCTTTATCATATCCCTTCAGCCTAAGGCAAGCTACATAGCAGAAGTTATTATTTCAATTCTAGTAGACTGGTCCTGTGGATGCATGGCCTCCATTGCCATTTACTGTCAAAACCAAATTGTTTTTCCTGCTGATTCTCCCTATCTTACTATGTTTGATACAGGGAGTGGCTGCTAAACTGGAAGTGATATGTACGTACATTCTAATGCTGATTGTGCTTTTCTGGCGCCTCTTTTTGATGTTGGGTTCTGAAGAGTAGGCTGTTTGTGTAACTCTATTTTGTGGTCAGTGCATCAAGAAGTGGCACATAATATAGCCATGATAAGTCATTTATATGTTTAAGATACTCTGGTTAAATCTTTTATTCTACAACACAAGTTGAGTCCATTCTCTGTTGAAATTGTGGTGGGAGACGCAAAGAGGAGCAAGACAAGCCACCAAAGATCGTAACAATTAATGCCAAAAAGAACTAAAAGAGACCTCAATAGAGGGAAGAAGGTTTAAGAGAAAAGAACAAATTTTATGGGGGCTTCATGTGTGTCTGTAATTGTGCTTTTTGGTAAGTTCATCTCATTTGCTTTTAATCCTCCCATGAACTCTGATAGCTAAATGGAGGAAACTGATGTTTACAGAAATCAAGTGGCATTCCCAAGGTGGTGCAGTTGTTAATGCCATGACTTACTTTTGATCCCAGAGCTCATGCTCTTTCCAGTACTCAGTGGCTCTCATCCCTGGCTGCATGTGAGAATTGTCTGAAGCACTTTTAAATGATAAAGCTATCAGTCTTACCCCAATGCAAAGTCTCTAAGGACAGGGATGGAGCAGGTATTTCCTAAAAGCTCTCCAGGTCATTCTAATGTGCAGCCAGGAATCAGGACCACTAGGGCCACCACAGGCATAAAGCAAAAGACCCAGGAGAGTAACTAGAGAAGTTCTAAAATTTCACTGTGGTGACCCATGAGCAACACTGCAATTTTAAAAAAGAACATATTTTTCCAGAATAGAGAAGAATTGAATGTGAATAAGTAGAGTTGATTTCACTCTTAGCAGCTGTGATACTTATGACTTTTAATTTATTTTATGTATTACTTATGGGCAGAGGCTTTTTCCTGTTAATTACAATTTAAAAATCTTTTCATATGTACAGTTATATTGGATACTGCATCAAGTTCCCTGTAGACTCTTCTAAGTTATTTATTTGGGTGGGAAGAGGGAACAGTTATGCCACTGGCTTTGTCTAATTCCACTTAAGATTCTGAAGCAATTAGAAAAGATTTTGAGCAATAGAAAAGGTCCTTAGAGTTTGAAATACACCTGTTTTGCAGAATCAAATTTCTCATCAGTGAGGTCTTATGAATTCCTAAGTAACATATGTTTCCTAATGAATATAGCAAAACAGAAGCCAGCTGTTTTGTTTCAAGGAATGAATCATCATTTAAGTGCTTTAAAAGTGTCACAATGCTCTCCTTTGCTCAGCTGTTATATGTGACAAGCTTCATGTCTTTCTCCCCTGCCCCTTAGCCTGCATGTGTCCAGTAGTAATTGCTTAAAATGTAATGTGTTTGCCATGGTGGGTTATGGTTTCTGTAAGCTATTGGGTTACAGGAAATAATGCTAATGTACTAGCAGTAAAATCCAAGACCCATAGTGAATTGCACTGCTATATAATCATTTTTTTTAAATTCCTTTCAGAATGTCAAGGTTTTATTTATTTAATTATTTTGCAGAAAATTTCATTTTCAATGGCCAATCTAAAAGAAGCTCCTAGTTTCTGTTGAGACTCTCTGTTAGCAGTATTTTCTGGTGAGGGATGCATGAGTTTTTAAAAGTCTGGTTGCAGGAATTTATAATGTATAGAGGTCATATTTTCTTGGATTCATGTTGAAATACCCTGCCCTCAATCAAGACAGTTTTTACTGGGTGAATGAATGAAGGTGGCACTCACATGCCACCTTCTACTCATCTCAGTAGATTTAATGTGCTGGTTTCTTGTTTTCTCTGACAATGGCACATTCACACTGAATCCAAGGTCATGGCAATTTTAGAGTCAAACAGGAGTGAAACATCTTTTCTAGTAGAAAAGTGAATCTGTCATCTTCACAGCTAATAAAATTAAACTAATGAATGATGATAATTAAATGCAATGGAAATTTATCAGCACTGTTATTTTAAAATTGTTTTTGAGATAATTATTTGTTTAAAACACTGCTGTACAGATTAAAACCCCACCAAAAAATGTTCCCACAAAAATGTTCCAGTCTTTGTTTGGTACTTACAAACACACAGGATGGAGCCTGAGACTGAGGCATTTCACCTGAGGGGTCTTTGGACTGTTTTTTGCTACCTCTACTATTCACCCAAATCTAATGATAAGTCAAATCTTGTGTTCTAATTTATTTTAACTCATTATAGCTTTTTCCCTTCATCTGTCCCATTTCTTGTAGCCAACTTCTGCTGGGCAGTGGTTACTGAGGAGCTGCCTGGTCAAGAGGCAGGTGAAGCTCTTGCTTACTGCTAAGGGGACCTGACTGCCGTGATGGGGAGACAGGATTGGTACAAAACACGGGGCCTTTTAATTCACATTGAAAAATCTTATTACCTTTTCTCCTTTAGGGTCACCAGCTCCAAGTTCACCATTTCCCTAGGTAAAAAATAAAACAAAAGTCCACTTAATTTTAATGCATTTAGTTTTGAAAGCACAGTCAGTTACTAGTACTGGGTCAGCTTTTTATGGATATTATGTGGCTTTGGCAGACATCTTTGTCTTTCTCAGCTTTTGTAAATAGTCCTGTTAGATATTCTGTTAAATAGCTCATATGTTGGAGGCCCCATCTGTCTTCTCTGTGACATCTTCAGGAAATGGCTTTTGAGAAACTCCATACCTAGTGGGGCAAAGCCTCAATTTTCCACATTCACACCTAGAAGTTTCCACTGGCCCTACCTATGACTGAGTTTTCCGCTTCTGTGGTCCCCAGACCACTAATTTGATTCCATTTCACTGGGCAGATAACTTTTCCCATTATCACACTGAAAAAAAATATACAAATTCTCAGGCAGTACTTCAAATTCCTGCCACCAAATCTACAAACCCATGCATTTGACCTTGGCTAATAAGCTGTCCCTCTATAACTCCTATGAATCACATACCCTTTGCCTTTTTTAGACTTTTTCCTCATTAATGTTACCTATTCCCATTAGATGAAAGTGGTAAATTTGTTAAAATTAAGTAAATTGGCAAAATTCTTTAATATCTCTTTGTCTACCTATTTTCTCTTTTCCAAACTTAACACCAAATACATAGTCTCTTGGGTACACATTTCCCTTAAGCTATGCTTTCCTCTTCATTCTTGAACCCTTCTTTCAAAAGGCCAATAAATGTTGTCTGTGCGCACTGACCAAGATGGCCTTAATGTTCCTATAACCTGAAGTACACTTTAGATAGACTTATTTTTGACTCTAGGCCCTGATCTCCCTTTTTTAAAAGCACTTAATTTAGAAAACTTGTGCTAGTAAATCCATTTCCTACCTTTTTGAGATGTAAATCTTTTAAAAAGCTTCTCTTTGGCTAAATGACCCTAGAATGTCTTTCTCAAGGACTGGAGCAATTCTTTTGAAAGGTAATCACCAAGAAAGATGGAGTCCAGTTTCTCAGCCTCTGTGGGAGGGCAGGAGCCTAATTTCAGCCTTGCTCCACCTCCACAAAGATGTAAGAAAATTTACTTCTCCTTTGGGTAAAAACACAAATACAGTAATGCCTCACCATCCATGGGGAATTGCTTCCAGGGTTCCCCAGGGATACTAAAATATGTTGCTCTAACCCTTTATATAAAATGCCATAGTATTTGCATATAACTTATGCATATTTTTCCCTATACTTTAAATCATCTCAAGATTACTTAAAATTCCTAATACAATGTAACTAATATATAAATAGTTGGTATACTGTGTTATTTAGGAAATGATATGACCAGAAAATAAAATGACTTGAAAAAAAAATGCACATATTCAGTAAAGAGATAATGTTTTGTCTAATTGCTCTGGCTAGAGTTTTAAGGATGATGTTGAATAGAAGTGGTGAAAGAGGACATCCTTGTCTTCTTCCAGTTTTTAGCTGGAATGCTTTCAATTTTTCCCCATTTAGAATGATGCTGGTCTTGGGTTTAGCATATATATAGCTTTTACAATGTTGAGGTATGTTCCTACTATCCCTAGCTTTTTCTAGTGTTTGAATATGAAAGTGTGCTGTATTTTGTCAAATGCTTTTTCTGCATCTACTGAGATGATCATATGATTCTTGTTTTTAAGCCTATTAATATGATGAATTACATTTATTGATTTCCCTTTGTTGAACCAACCCTGCATCCCTGGGATGAATCCCACTTGATCGTGGTGCCACACTACCAAAAGCATTAAACAGATTTAATGCAATTCCTATTAAAATCCTAATGAAATTTTTCATGGAAACAAAAAAACAATCATGAAATTTATTTGGAAAAATAGGAGACCCAGAATAGCTAAAGCAATCCTTAGCAAGAAAAGTGAAGCAGGAGGCATCACAACACCAGACCTTAAACTACACTACAGAGCTATATTAACAAAAATGGCATGGTATTGGCACCAAAATAGACTTGTAGACCAATGGTAGAGAATAGAGGACACAGAGATAACCCACATAAATATGGTTAACTCATACTAGACAAGAGTGCCAAAAACATTCACTGGGGAAAAGATAGCCTATTCAACAAATGATGCTGGGAAAACTGGAAATCCTTATGTAGCAAAATGAAATTAAACCTCTGTCTTTCACCCTGCACAAAAATCAACTCAATATGGATCAAAGATTTAGGCACTAGAACAGAGACCCTGTGCCTAATAGTAGAAAATATAGACCTAAATCTGCAGCATGTCAGCCTAGGATCTGATTTCCTTAACAAGACTCCTAAAATGCAAGAAGTAAAATCAAGAATCAATAAATGGGATGGATTCAAATTAAAAAGCTTCTTCTCAACAAAGAAAACAATAAATAACATATGGAGAGAGCCTACAGATTGGGAGAAAAACTTTACCACATGAACCTCCAATAAAGCATTAATCTCTAGGATATATATAAAGAATTCAAAAAACTTAACACCAAAAAAACAAATAACCCATCAATAAATGAACTAAGGAACTGAACAGACACTTCACAGAAGAAAAAATACAATTGATCAACAAATATATGAAAAATTGTTCAACATCTCTAGCAATTAGAGAAATGCAAATCAAAACTACTCTAAAATTTCATCTCACTCCTGTAAGAATGGCAATCATCAAGAATACAGGCAACAATAAATGTAGGCAAGGATGTGGCAAGGATTGCTGGTGGGACTGCAAATTGGTACAACCACTATGGAAAACAGTATGGAGATTCCTCAGAAAACTGGGAATCGAACCATCATTTGACCCAGCTATCCCACTCCTTGGTTTATACCCAAAGGACTTAAAATCAGCATGCTATAGTGATGCAGCCACATCGATGTTTACAGCAGCTCAATTCACAATAGCTAGCCTATGGAACCAATCTAGGTGTCCCTCAATATATGAACGAATAAAGAAAATATGGTATATATACTCAATGGAATATTACTCAGCTTTAAAGAAGAGTGAAATTATGGCATTTGCCAGTAAATGTTTGGAGTTGGAGAATATCATGCTAAGTGAAATAAGCCAATCCCACAAAACCAAAGGTCGAATGTTTTCTCTAATATATGGATGGTAATTCACAATAAGGCAGGGGCACTAGGGAAGAATAACATTACCTTAGATTAGGTAGAGGGAAGTGAAGGGAGAGGAAGGGAGGGGATGTGGGGATAGGAAAGATAGTAGAATGAAACAGATATTATTACTGTATGTATATATGTGACTACATGACCAACATGATTCTGCATCATGTACACTCAGAAAAGTGAGAAATTAAATCTCATCTATGTATGCTATATCAAAGTGCATAAATGCATTCTACTATAATGTATAACTAAAGCAAATAAATTTTTTATTATAAAAAGAGGTAATGTTTTACAAATGTTTTCCACCCATGTTTGGTTGAATCCTCAGATGTGGAACAGACAGGTAAGGAGGGCCAAGTGTATCTTTGTTCTCTCTCTCTCACTTTATTTAGCACTTTAAAGTTTCCCTTTGTGTAAGTGGAGTTGAAATCAGGCTGAGTCTGGCCTTTCACCTCTACTGTAAAATTCTTAACCACTTCCTTGCTTCTTTAACTTTTTCAGGTGAGATCACTTGGCTCTGATACCACTTACTCATCCCCAATTTTTGCCGAACCTCATAGTAATGTGACTTTGGCTCCAGCCAATCCACTGAAGCAGCTCTACTGTTGGCAAGGCTTTCTCTGCATTGATGACCTCTTAGCTGCATCTGCCACTTTCTCTCTTTCTCTCTCACCTCTTTTTTCCCCCCTCTTTTAATTGCAAACTGGCTGTTCAGACTCTTTTCTTATGTGAATCAACACTTTCTCTCAAGCACTCTTATCTATCCCCATGGTCCAGGCATCATTTACACAAAAACAAGTTTATATACCCATCATGCAGCTTCTGTCTGAATTTTAAATCTGTATATCTAATTTCCTGCTTGTGGTATTCACTTGTAAATTCTAGAAGCAATTCAGTTAACAAATTCAAAACTGAAGTAAAAATATGCAACAAATACACATATAAGATAAAAAAGAGAAGAGAGTTACATCATACTGTTAACACTGGTTAACACTGGTTAATCCGGAAGTGGGAGAATGATAATTACTCTTTCCCAATTTAATTCTGCATTTTCTCTTTTTAAATGAGCAAGAAATTTTATTTTACAGTTGAAAGAAATCAAGGAAAGCAAGACAACCTGCACTCACCTTCCCCCTTCCATAGGACTCTTCTTCCTTTAATCAGGGTGTCATTCCTAACACGACCCCTTACTTACTTCTCATGTACAGCCATCCAGTCTCCTTGACAATCCCCAAATTTCTACTCTAGGCTATTTGCCTTCATCCCAGGCAGATCACCATCATGTCTCACCAGGATCATGGTACTGGGTGCCCAATTGGCCTTCTGCAATTCATTCTGGATCCCCTGACACATACATTCTCCACATACGGTCAGACAGATAAATTTACTAGATGTTCTGACTTCTTTCAAAGCCTTAACAGAGGCATCAAACACCCTCCAGCACCATCTGGGCCATTCTTCTCCCTCTGAGGCTCCAGCTATAATGTTCTTCTTGCAGCTTCTCACATGGACCAAGATCCTTCCATCTCAGCCTCTGGATCACTACTCTATGGCTTTTCTTCTTCTTCTGTCCAACACCCAGTCCTCCCTCCAGTATCAACTATTGGAAAGTGCTTTTCCTAGTCTTCTTAGTCTTCCAGATAAATCTCTTTCTCATACCCTCTCACTGAACATTGTATTTTCCTCTCATAATGCTTTTTTTTAAAATTGTGTTTGTTTAAAGTTGTTTTTTTTTTTAAACTCTTGCACTAGAATTTAGGCTCCATGGAGACCTAGAATTGAATCCTCCATGCCTTGTTAAGTAACTAGCAAAAAGAAAGCATTCAATAAATTGTTGTTGAGTAAATAAGTCAATAATTCTAATCCACATGGTTTC